TGGTGGGGCAGACCTTCAAACATTCTATGCACAAGTAAAATGTCTGCAAATAAGATCATGTTTTCTGAGTTTAAGATATAATATTGTGCTAAAATTTGATGACATTAATTTCACATTTTATACGGTTGCCGACAACACGTACAATTTACAACAAACACTTTCTTTCTTTGGAAAAAAAACAAGGCAAACCTTATTTGGAAATAAAATACTTTATATCAGTCTTATAACAAATGGGTTATTAGACAATCTGTAATAATCTACTCCATCCATGCAGGCCGGTCTGCAGGTGGGGGTGCCAGGAATGCTCAGAGGGTTACACCGCGCTCACAGCTTGTACGGGAGGTAAGAGTTCACTCAAAGTGAAAATGATCTGATGTTTTATTTATATCCTTAAGTCAAATGTCTCACCACAAAATCTGTGCAGTCTGCCATGGGAGGATGTGGTCGCCAGAGCTGCTGCTGTGGCCAAAGAAGGTTTCAATGTGTCTTTCAGTCTTGGTGAGTAAAATCAAAATAAAATGTCACTTTACCACATTATAAGATGATGATGTCTCCTCAGGATGTGAAACCAGGATGTGACTCGTTTTTGTTATTCTACAGCTGAGGCTATATCAAAGGTAAAAGGTCAGAGGGTGTCACAACGTTTCAGGGACTTGTTCTTCCCCGATGGCCGAGCTCTGGGTCCTGGTTCATTTCTGATGATGTCCAGTCTGGCTGGAGTCCTAGAGGCTGGTGTGTCTAACTTCTATGATGGAAACGTCTCAAAAGAGATGGAGGATGAGGTGAATGGTGTGAAATGTGTCAAAATTATAGTTTGTAATTTGCTTTTCATTTAAGTTGTAAGAGGACATATTCTGCTCATTCTCAAGTTCTTATTAGTATCCTGTGTCTCTACTCTGACATGTTTCCATGCTTTAATGTTCAAAAAGGTATTTATTTTTCTCATACTGCCTGTACTACAGCACCTCTTTTCACCCTCTGTCTGAAACCAGAGCCCAGTCTGCTATGATTGGTTAGCTGGCCAGCTCTGTTGTGAACTGCTCAGAGACTTTCCACCCCTTAGCCTATCATTAAAATGTGTTGGATCGCTAGCTAATAGAAGCAGGAGGGAAGTTTGGGATTTTAGCCTTTCGAGACCATTTACATGCACAAAAACCTATAACACACTATAGGAAAGGGAATCCCAAAATCGGGTCTCTTTAACAGTTAAAATGATACTGTTTTAACATCTTTTGTTGTGTTCTCATTCAAAGGTGCGAGCTAATGGAGGGGTCCTGAGCAGAGAGGACATCAGTGCTTACAGCGTACAAGTGGAGCAGCCACTGGAAGGCCTGTACAATGGTAATATTCATCAATAATATCCTTAATATATATATTTTTTTATTATTTTTGACACCCTTTTCTATGTTGTGTTACTCTTGTCTTAGAATCCATTATTCAAGTTCCTCCTCAACCTGCTGGTGCAGCGTTGATATCAGCACTCAACATTTTGGAGGGCCTCCACCTCAACGAGAACAATAACACTGAAAATCAAACACACCACTGGGTTGCTGAGGTACTGCATTGCCAAGCTTAAATATCACAATGTTGTTGTTTATTTAACATACCAGCAGTTTTGATGGTAAATCTCCTATAAGAATGATTTATTTCTCCCTTTTTAAGGCTCTGAAAGAAGCTTTGGCCAGTGGTTTGGGTGACCCTAAATATAACTCTTCAGTGACTCAGCTGCTGTCTGACATGCTGAGGTAAACTACATTAGGGACGAACAACTGTGACAATTCATTCAATAATAATCAATAACAATATTTTCTTTATAATTTGATGGTTTATTTCGTCTATGAAACGTATACATTTCACGATAAACCTCGGGCCCATGCCAAATGTATTGTTTTATTTTATTTAAAAACAAATGAAGCGGGGCAGGTTCATTTAAATGGCACATTTCAACACATGACAAAGAAAAACATAAAATCCTCAAGTTCCAAGAGTAAAAGTTAGAGCAAAATGTGTTTTCTGTCGTCATGAATCCTTATATGTTCATGTTTAACTGTTACTTATCTTCTGCCTTAATTGATAGCCACTGTTCTGCAAAAACAAATCAGTTCAAAAGCAGCTAACATCCTTTTAATTCCTCTCTGCTCTTGCAAAAGTAAGAATCAAGCAGAGGTGCTTCGCCAGAGGATCAATTCCTCCCATACCTCTGCACCCGACTCCATCCCCTCCCTGCAGACAGAGCGGATGGCTGGACAAGTTGCAGTCATGGGACCCGACGACCTGATGGTGACGGTTACAAGGTGATTGTTGCGACCTGCAGCGTGACATAAGCGATCACAGGAGGATAGGTGTGGTATGTGCTGCTGGGCACAAGGACATTCTTTCATCTTATCTCTTGTCTTTGTGATCTTACAGTTCTTTGAGCACGCCATTCGGGAGCAGAATCGTCACAGCGTCAGGCGTTATTCTCAACAGCCTCATGCTCAACTCCTCCTGGACATATGAAGCCCGAGGGCAACTCTCAAAGAACCAGGTGCATTGCTTTCTTTAAAAAAATCTCAGCTAAAGAAAATCAGACATCTCCAAAGTTGTTTTTATGAAAGAGGCCCTATTATGCATTTCTGGGTTTTCCCCTTCCTGTAGTGTGCTATAGGTTTTTGTGCAGGTAAATGGTCTGTTAAGAAATCCCCCAGTTTCATCCAGAGGGAGTTTCCCTCCCACACACTCATTAGATTCCCTCATTAGACTCCTTTGTTTTCCTCTGTAACTTGTTGACATCACTATGTAACACTCGCACTTCTATTGGCTAGCGCTCCATCACATTGTACGTAACGTGATAGACTAAGGGGCAGACATCCATAAGAGGTTGACCAAGAGGTGCTGCAGCATAGGCAGTATGAGAAAAATAAACACCTTTTTGAATATTAAAGCATGTAAACAGGTCACAGACGAGTCTGAAAATGCAAATATGAACCTGAAAATGTGCAGAATGGTGTCCCTTAAACTATTGCTCACTGTTTGTCCCTTTTTTTCTTTAGAAAAACAAAGTCCAGCCAGGAAAGAGGACCCTATCCTCTCTCATGCCGGTGATAGTGATGCCTGCGGGGCATAAATGTGGCGTCTACATGGCACTAAGCAGCTCGGGGGGGCAACAGAGTTTGAGTGTGATCACCCAGGTTTGACCAATTAACATGTTTTTGTTTATATCTCTTTTTTATTTAGCTTTGTGTAATTATACTGGGAAAAATATAAAAGATGGATTTTTGTATAGATCGAACATGGCAAACTGTAATATAAATGCTGTGTGACTTCAAATATAGAAACGATTATGGTCTGATTCACTGGAAGTAGGTTTTAATACAAAAACATTGACAATGTACACTCTTTGTGTTTTAGGTGTTGATCAGTGCACTGTCCTCACATAAGGAGAGAAATGACAGCCTCTCCCTGACAAATAAGCCTCTTGTTGACTGTAAGTTTTCTCTATTGCTATTATTTTACATATATATTGTTTGTAATAGTAATGTCCTACTTTTCTAAATCTCCATTATCAGCTGAGTTTCCTGAGGGTGAGCAGTTTTTGGATGAAGAAGGCCACGCACTTCAGAGAGTGAAGACAAACTCTGTTCAGGGGATCCTGAGGAAAAAAGATATAATTACACCCATAAATGTACCTCAATTATCTGAAGGATTCTTATAGTTTTGTTGTTCTTGTGAACTTCATTTTTCAATAAATGTCTTAAAAGAGCTCAATTCAATTATTTAGAAATGTTTGCACTATAAGGTTGACTGTTGTTGTTTCCAGTGATATTGTGATCACAAGTCAACAAGAGGGCAGTACTTTCTATTAAAGAAGGGAACATGGTCTTGAAATGGAATAATCCCATCATACTCGAGCTCCACATTGAAGGTCAATTCTGTATTGGATTAAAAAACAAGACAAAAGCAACTATGCATAATGTCTTTTGAAAAAAAACAACGGTTGTTATGAAAAGCTGACAAGCAGTCAAGATACTGTCAGACATACCAACGTCACAAGGCTACGTGCAAACACGCAGACAAACATGTCACTCGAAATATTGCATCTGAGCCACTGGTTAAACATTTGACCTAACCATCTTTTGAAACTGTTTCTCTGCAGCTTCTGGTAAATAACATTCCAGGGTTGATAAAACATGACCTTCTACCTTTATTTATACAGTCTATGCCTTCTACATGTTTGTTCAGATGTCATTGTCATCTTACAAACAGAACAATTGGACTTTGTCTTCATAAAATAATATTTAAAGGGACTATCTGCACAGGAGGATTTGGGATTATTTTAATTTTAAATCATAAATTGTGCATTTTATGTAAGAAATGACACGGAGCTTAAAACGTCTCTACATTAGTGCAGCTATAGGAAAACAATAATCCAAGTGATACACACATCTGTACTATCAGCAATGATTAATGAATTAATCATATAATCAGTTAATAACTTTTGAATTAAATGTGATAAGACGTCATTGATCCCTTGGTAAAATTGAAAAGCAACCCAGCATTAAATATAATTAAAAGAAATAAGCCACATTTCCCAACTGCAACATGTACATTGAAATGCATAAATAATAATAATTGTAATATACATTACTCTAAAATAGGCCATTCTGTATAACAATGAGAAGGCTCGCTGATCTATGATACTTTGATGCTAACAATTATATTTATTTTAGTAAAATATTGGATTAATGACTTTCACTTGTAACAGTATTTCTGTGGTAGTGGTAGCCTACTTTTAAATAAACACGAGTTTACAGATAGTGTATCAGTGCATGCATCCCAGTGATCATATAATAGTAGCTGCATGTATTAGGAGCCACTTTGAGTTTAAGGATATAGTCAAGAATATCCTCCCTCATTTTATCAGTCCTGTTTTGTTGAGGAAATGTCGTGCAGAGGACAGATTGGGGGCGGAGAAGTTGGGATCTGCCAAGTGGGAGGGTCGGTCACATGCAGGTCAGAATCAAAACGTGCAGGTTCTCACTCCAACACAAGGGAAGAGGGAGAGGTTTCACACGGCAGATACCTGTTGCTTTCTGACGACTTTCTTCATGGTGCTACAGCGAAACCGTTCGCGGAGTAACTCATAAAAACAGTAAGTAAGTCGAGCTAAACTCTGTAATGAATATTATTGATATAAAGCTGTTAGAGCAGCATTACAGGCAAGTTCGGTTTATACATTTAAATGGGTCCAGTTTTCTAGGGACGTGCGTTCGTTTATCAAATTTGACACACTAAAATGAGTTTAATATAATATATACATTATACATTTACAAACAGGTAAGTTGAAATACATGAAAGAACGCCCCTTTATTGATACGTAGAATACAAAATGTAATGCGTCTTGCTTGTCAGTCAGGATGATGCTGTAACATGATTATGATGCGACGTGACAGTCTCTTAACAATATGCCTATTTTTTTCTTTAAGTGACTAAAGCTAACGTTAAGAGTTTAAACAAAGGTAAGCTACTTTGCTAGCTTATAGTGTTATTGAATAGTTTCGCTAAAAAGTAACTTTCACACATTCACTGGTGCTCCGTCTCCTCCTGTGCCAAAGTGTGCTCCGATGTTAGGTCGGGCAGGCAGGAAGTGGAACGTTCAGAGCATATATAGCATATATATATATACAAACTAATTGTGCAGACCCTATCCCTCCGTAGTCTTTCAAGTAGGAGGAGAGAAATGCCAGCGTTCTCCTCCGGTTTACAGGCACTGTGTACATTATATAGAATAATTATGATGAATGCATTTTTTTACCACTAAAATACAGCAACACATCTTTGATTCATGTCGTTTATAACTGGAATATTACAGTTATTATTAACTTCGTCTGTACAAAGTAGCCTGTCCAGGAAATATGCCCAAATCAACAAAAACTGCGAGCCGGCAGGCAAGACGCTCCGCTTCTGAAATGCTTCTGAAACGCGCCTGGTAGGGTATGACGCCGGAGGAGGCCGGACCAAAATCGCGGCGCAGCAACGCGGCGCAGACGGACCCGGTGGAATCTAGGGGTCAGGGTGACAATAAACGAACGCACCCTTAGTTATTACCATGATGATTTGTGCAGGGACTTTTATATTGTAAACAATAATAAAACTGTAGCTGATGTCATCTGAACTGGAAGAAGTACTCTTATATTGTACTTAAGTACCTTCTGCATATTGACCCATTTTCTAATATATTATATGTTTTGATTAACTATTGATACATTAATGTGTTAGTGAAAGTGCAGCTAGTTTGAATGACTGTATACTGCAGGGTAGCTTGTGAATTTACTCCAGGTGTAAATAAAGTCTTATTTAAGAGTTGATCATATTTCACATCATTAATCCAAATCTGTAAGTAACTAAAGTTAGTGGAGTTAAAGTACACCATCAACCTTTAGCGAAAAATGGAAATACTTAAAGGTGGGGTAGGTAAGTTTGAGAAACCGGCTCGAGATACACTTTTTGTTATATTCCATGGAATGCTCTTAACATCCCGATAGCAATGAATATCTTAAGTGCTTTGTCAAAAAATCCATAAAAAAATGTCATCTGTACGACCAATCATTTTAGCCGGCCCGGCTAAAATAACTGGATGGCCTTCCTGCCTGTCAGCCTTCCATCTGTGTTGGAGGAGGGGCTCTGTAAGGAAGTGGCAGATTTTGTCCGGCTGTGTATTTTCAAATGCTAGCGTACTCGAGCTGGTTTCTCCAAAATTACCTACCCCACCTTTAAGTTCAGTACTTGAGTATATATGGTCATCTGGTGGTTGTAGCTGATGTGAGACATGCCATTGTGTTTGTATTTTCCATGACAAAGTGAGTATTGTTTCACAGGAATGTGTTATAATATGTGTTATTCGATATGCTTCTGTAATTCATGTTCTCCTTACTTTGTAATTAACTAGCCTTTTGCTATGAACTAAGTACTCCTGTTTTATTCCTACAGGTTAACAGCTTCTACCAGCACACATCGGCTGCTTCAAAACGGTTTAACAGTTTATTCTAGTGGGAATATGGAGCCCAGAGCTGTAGTGAAGGAGAAGTTTTTCATCGTGATACGAGGGAAGTCAAGGAAAGGCTTCTGCCGGGGATGTATCGGTCGTGTGGAGACGGAGACGCAGTGTGGGGAGCTGACGGGACTGCTGTACTGCGGGGGGAGCAACGCTTTGAATCCCAAGAGTGGAGGCACCGTGAGGAAGGAGGACACCTACTCTCTGACCCGCCACCAGGCCCAGCTGCTGCTCTTCGTTTCCTCCGTGAGCAAACGCCTGGAGCTGCTGTGCAACCCCCAGCTGTTCTCTGCTATCTGCGAGCTGTCTCAGGACGACCTGGTGGTGGTGAAGCACAAGAAAGGACACCTGCCGGGAATGGTGAAGAACCTGATGCAGATCGGGAGGAAGGAGCACAAAGACGACCTGCACATGCTCGGCTTCGAGGTGGAGTTTGTGGTGGGTAAAGTCTGGTTTATTGTTTGCAACATTGGTTAGAGTTATCTAGTTTCTTAGTAGATTTACTCAAGTACACTACTGAGGTGCACATTTGAGGGACTCTACTACAATTCAGAGGTGACAAGTGTACTTTTACTCCACTACATTTATTTTATACCTTTAGTTACTTTGCTAGATTTGGATTCATGCTGTGAAATTAAAGTAACCCTTAAATAAGACTTTAGTTACATATGGAGGAATTCACAAAATATCCTGCAGTATACAAAGTCAATAAAACTAGCTGCACCTTTACCAGCTGTGATATATATTATTATGAAATGGGCCAATCTGGTTTCTCTGGTGCTTATACAGTAAGTGCACACTCACTTGTATAACCTCAAGAAATGTATTGAGACGAGCAGGCCCGTATCAGTTCAGGTGACCTATGTTTCTTAGAATGAAGATTTCCTAGATAGATGCACATGAGACGTTATCTGCGTTCTGTACATAAGGGTGTTGAGTTTCTGTTTTGCCTTTGTCTTCCTTTGTAGGACAGTGATCAGAATTTGTCCTCCAAGAAACCCCCCCCTCTGCCCCTGTTCAGCGCGGCGGACGTTGTGCAGGTGGTCCCGTCGTACTCGGTTCCCCTCGGACTGCACTGGAAGGACGGACAATCTGGGGGTTAGTTAATAAAGCGATCACAGATTAACTACCCCTTTCAAAATGCATTACCTAACCACAAGTTACTTGGTTTCTGAATTCCTTTCAATAAATATGTTTTGTATGAAAAAGAGCATCCATTCCCCTCCAATCAGCTGCGCTTGAGAGTTTTCACAAGACACATGTGATTCCCACAGGGGCGCAGAAGAAGCTTTCCCAGCATAAACAGGAAAAACTGGTCCTGTTTCTCTGGAATTTCAAACATCAGAGTGATCACGTGGTCTGGTATTTAGGCACATAGTGAACTCTGAGCTGTCTGCATACCTCATACGTTTGCCGTGTTAGCCGGAGGTCAATCTGATGAGTGATGAAATGACGTGTGACTTTCATCCTTCATACCTCTCCGCAGGTCTGAACAGAAAAGCGGTGACGCGCATCAACTCCATGCCAAATATTGGATCTCGTGCACGACAAACGAGGGAGAACCTTACGGAGCAGAGTACCGGTCAGGGCCAAAGTCCAAGTGCATCTCATGTGCCTCTGGAGGTGGGGTCCCTGGTGGAGGTGGTGTCCAACTCGGGGGTCACAGTGTACGGAGTCATCCGGTGGTTGGGGGTCCCTGCAGGGAAGACTAATGAATGGGCTGGAATCGAACTGGTACGTTTTTAAGATTGTGTACAGTTTTTTTTTCTGTCATTTCTCTCATTACTGATTGTTTTACGCATTGTTTCAGGATTATGATGTGAGCGGTTGCTCTGATGGAAAGTATGGAAGCCAGCAGTATTTCACCTGCAAAGCGAGCAGGGCTTTGTTTGTTCCCGTCACAAAGTGCAGCCCCGACAGCAGGTTCAGCTGCTCCTCCTCAGGAAGGGGGACCTCCAAACCCAGAGACACACTTCTAGGTAAGACACTTCTTTCAGCTTGTGGGACATGCATACACACAATTCAAATATACCCTCATGTCAGGGATTTTAATATATATTTACATTATTCAACACAGGGAAGCACAACGAAATACAGTTGAAGCTTATGTCATCATGATATACAAGAAAAACATGACAAACTTTGCAAACTGTTATCTTTTGAGGTTACAGTATTACGTGAAGATATTACATAAAGCTTCAGCGATGGATGTTTTGCATTACTCATTATGTGTTCTTTTCTTTTTTTATAATTCACACAGCTTCACAGAGACAGTTTTGAGGGGGTTTTCATCTTTGGAAAATAGTTTAATGTTTGTTCTGTACAAACAAACCTTAGAACCACGATGTGCTCTTAAAAAAAAAGGAGTAACAGCAGGTGGAAAAGCCTTAAATGCAGTGGCTAAATCATAGAACATTTTGTTTTTGTAAGGGCTATTAACAAACCAACATTTATAATAGCAACAGCCAATGGGAGGCAATCTGGATAATAGCATACCAGGTGAAAAAGATTAAAAATAACGAAATGCATAAAAGGTTTTTAAACATCATACATGGAAAATAGGTACCCATATATAGGTTTTATTATAGAGTGTTAGAGAAAAGGAAGCTAAACTTGATCCTGTTGATGTGTCATGCCACACTAGTTAAAAAAAACAGTCTGACTTTATCTTTACACCCTTATGCCTCTGGCAGAAGTTATTAAAGAGAAGTTAAGTCATGCCTGTAACAATGCATGCACTGTCACTAGTCAGTTATGACAGTTCGGTGCACTTCCTACTTTGGGAAACGCAGATTAATGAATAATTATGCACAAATTGTAATTATCGAACCGTGTTTAAGCCAGGTGAGAAGCTGCTGCAGAATACTACCAAGGTTCTTTATTGTCAAACTAACATAGCTAATTAGTAATTATGTCGTTGAAAATCTTATGTCACACCTTCCTCAGATCTAAAACTGCCGGTGAAATGATGATGTGTGTGTTTAATTATCATCCCCTTCATGATAGTGAACATGTGTTTTTGTGTGTTTGCTTGCTGGTTTCAGTTCCTCTGTATGAGGACCCTGAGGAGTATGCCCCTCCTATTCCTGAATCGGAGGCCTTGTCTTTGTTGGTGGGGAAAATGAAGGGGATTCAGGGTCACATCAACTCCTGTTACCTTGATGTCACACTCATCAGGTAAATCCAGTTCACCTCCCTTCAGAGCATGTGACGCTCAAGTAGCGCTCTGTTGCCAGTGCAGCTCAAATGAACTTGAATGTCATTCTTTTAAGTCATTTTAAAAGCATGCTGAACTCTATTTAGATAAGTTGATAAAAATAAAGTGTGTATCTCTTTTCCTTCAGTTTGTTCAGCTCCTCTGTGACCCTGGATAATATCTGCCAGACGCCTGCTGACACAGAGCGACCCATAATGTGCACTTTCAGAGAAATCATCAACCGTTTGCGCAGGTATGAACTCTTTCTTCAAGGTTTTGTTTTTCTAACGCCTTGTTAGTACTTCATGTACTCTGAAAAACAAGAACATAATGACTTTTTACATCGGCTCAAGTGGTAAACAAGGACTCTGTGTCCTAATGATACGGGTACACTAGCTAACGCACAATGTGCTTAAAACTAGGGTGTGTTCGCTCTTGATTGTTATGGTATATTTCATTGTTTTGAGTTTTTGTGTTTGCCTAATGATAGCTAATGAATCTATTGCAGACAAGGATTTGTGCCGGCTCAGAGTGTAATGAACTTCAGACAACAACTTGGCTGTGATACCTTCCGAACAGAGGAGAAAGGTACACACCCTTATCGCGCAACAACATATTTCATTAGAAGGTATTTGATCATTGCAACATAACATACTGAAGCCTATTGTTACAACCTTTGAATGCTTTGCTTCACCGCAGATCCAGAGGAGTTCATCACAGTCCTCTTTCAGAAAGTGCTTCGCATGGGCCCTTTGATCAAGCTCCGGTAAGATTAAAGCCAAACGGTTATAAAGGGTAACTTTTGTGTATTTCTACTTGAACCCTATCTTTCCAATTTGTTATCCCTAAGTGACTTATATCGAAAAATGTCCTTCCTTCCTGATAGTTTTGTCCGAAATTTGAGGCCCAAAACCAAACCGACCCCTACGCACTTCCACTGTGTAGTCACACTCTCGGCTGATTTAGGCTCCCTTCTTTCAGGTGCACGGTGTAAATACAGTAGGAAGCTTTGAGACAAACTCCCCTCTCATGAACACCTCTCGGACAACAAATAATAATTATAATACAACTCCAACACACTTTAGTGACGTTTCTTTTTTGTAAACCTCTTTTTGTTTCCAATCGGGTGTTTATGAGCTGCTTGGTTTTTGCAAAACTAGAATCAAATGCCGTTTTTCTAGACTAGACTTATATGATATGTGATCAAGTCACATGTATGACAATAACAAATGTATTTTCATTTGTTCAGTTGACTAATAAGTGTATGCACAGGAGTAGTTGTAAACAGCGTGTTTCATGACATCAAAAGAAGCATTGCTTCTGGTCAGGTGGTGCAGGTGGTTAGTCAGGACCGATGCACACTCACTGTTGGAGGGCTTGATAACCCACTTACTCCCCACTTGTTGGTTTGGAGCAGCACTTAATATCGCGGACCCTCCAAATTGAAGTGGGTAGGGGGAAGGTGTAGAGGTGGGTTTGGAATTAGGCCTCTCAGTGGCAAAGATAAGCAGTTTTAGTTGAGCTAAAGTGACGTTTTGGAATTTCACTGAGCGATTTGCCTTACAGCGAGGCAGCTTTCCCTCTTCAAACTATTTGAAAAATGGTTGTACCCATTAGTCACATACACAAAACGGTCCAACCTGACAAAACTTTTGAGTTATCTTTTGAAATATGCTTTCCTTTTTTACTGTATCAAGTTACTGAAATTGAGTTTGTTTTTAGATCAGGACAGGACACATGTCAGGGGGCCTACACATTCCAGATCTTTCTAGAAAAAGGACAGATGGGACAGATGCCCTCCGTCCAACAGCTGCTGGACACATCCTGCCTGTCAGGGGACCTCAAGTTTGAAGAGGTGAGTGTGTGTGTGCTGGTCTTAAAGAAACCCTATGGTAATTATCAAGTTATACAGTCATGTTATTTCCATTCCTTTTCGTCCCTCAGGTGCCCTCCTGTCTAATGGTTCAGATGCCCAGATTTGGAAACAAGTACAAGATGTTTTCTCACATAATTCCCTCCACTGAGCTGGACATCACAGATCTCCTTTATAACTGTGAGGAACAGACAGAAGCACTGTGACTGGTTTCTTTTAATCAAGTGTTTTCATAGAGCTGATAGATGTTTACTGATCGCTTTCTTTTCCCAACAGCTCCGAGGGAATGCTTCCTCTGTGGGCATCTGGCTGAGTTCGAGTGTCTTCAGTGTCTCCCAGATCGCAAAATGCAGCCGGGGAGAATCAAACCGTTCTGCTCCACCTGTAACACGCAGGTCAGCAACAAAGCCCTGCATATCTCTGCACAAAACTACCACTTCCAAAAACTTGGATATATGTATTTATTTATTATTTATATATTTTTTCACATAGATTTTTTCTTGAATGTTATTCTTTATAGTAATTTATTTATTTATTTCTATTTTATTGTATTTGTATTCTATTATGTATTATAATTGTTTTATTCATATTGTTTATATATATTTATTTGAATTTTTTATTTATTTCCTATATATTTTATTAGTATTTTCTTTTTTTTATAAATGTATTTATTGTATTCCTCTTATATTATAATAATTTTTCCACCATTTATTGAGCATTGTTTTTCTTTTTCTGCACAAGTTTCTCGATAAATTACATTTTTGTAATTCTTGTTTTTGATTTTTTGACCAGTAAACAAATTCAAAACTTGACAATTCATCGGATTCTGATTCTCATAGATGTCAAGTATCCTACCATCCAAACCTCTACCTTTTTTATTTCTCCTAAAGGTCCACAGCCACCCCTCTCGGCAGGCCCACTCCCCCAGAGCCCTGCCGGCCCCCGCGGCCTCTGATACTCCGGTCCACCGACACACCATGCAGCTGTTTGCCGTGCTCTGCATTCAAACCAGCCACTATGTGTCCTTCCTCAAATACGGCCCTGATCCTCACTCCTGGCTCTTCTTTGACTGCATGGCAGACAGACATGGTAAGACAGATTTCAGCTTATTTTATTTAATATGTTGCGTCTTGGTGTGAGCATCAAATCAATCAAGAGGATTACTGTATTTACACGAAAAATAAATATACAAAAAAACTAAGTACAGTGAAAATACTGTATGACAAAATACAGTATATTACATTTAAAGTGGAGAGCTGTGCAGATTTTAAAGGAGAACAGGTTATAGACAAATGTGCAAAAATATTCAGAGGGATATGGAGGGCTCACAGTATTAATATGAACACAAATAGCACGCATGATGTGCATTAATGTAATGCATAGTGTTTTTTGGGGCTATACATTGATTTGTATTATTCAAAAGTTAAACATCTTGCGGTTTACTGTACATGGATCAATCCTTAGTGTAGTTATTTTCTCAATTTAAATAGTTATTTCTGCTTTTATTTGGAAGGCAGCTTTGGGCACCGGGTGATTAGGTATTAATTGGAGAAAGGTGGAGGTAGTAATGGTGCACCAGAAAAGGAATATGTTTTTTTGACCAGGTAAAGCCTCAGGAAAGGCAGCAGGGCAGTAGAGGTAAAACCATTGTTCGTTGTACTTTTGGATTATTGGAACCTAGAAAATACTCTACACAAAGGATATTCTTTCCTGGACAGTCGTTCATTTCCCGATGTAAGATTTGCTATCTGGTTTTACAGTTTTTTTCTTCTTGATTTTGCCCCTACAGTGTTTTGTGTGGCGGGTAACAGTCAATGTCAATGGGGGTCTCCGGCCTTAGTAGCAGATGGGAAGAAACCATTTTAAAGAACAGATTTGGTTGTGATGGCATGAAACGTTTTCTTCCATTAGTGGCATTGCAGAATAACAAAACAAGTCATTTTATTCTGATGTTCGTGCAGACTTGTTTTGTTTTTCTAATGGACTGCCCTTTTTACTGATAAGGCTCTGCAGTTCTGGATAAAGCCTCTCTCTGACGTCTTTGACTGCCCTTTATCTCTTCTTCAGCTGATGTCTCTAATCTTAAGGCCAATCTTTTCGTAACAGGTGACGATCAACATGGCTACAACATTCCTGAGATCCGAGCTTGTCCGGAGCTGGGTGACTTCCTGTCCCAGCCGGAGGAGGACATGGCCCGCTCACACCCCTCCCAGACTCCTGAGCTGGTGCGCAGGCTGCTGTGTGACTCCTACATGTTTTTATACCAAAACCCAGCCACGCCACTTTCTAGGTCAAACCACGAGGAGCCCTTTAACTGATTTTGACAGCGGGGACAATACGTTCCTATAACAGTGCCTTTATAACCTTGCATTTCTGCTTAATCTGCAAGATTAAGTGTTGGTTATTACATCCAAACAATAGGAGCTAAACGGATGCTTTTAACATCATGGGGGAAGACAATATTATTTTCCTGTTCAGACATTTGACTATGAGTTTAAGATGATATTTAATATATTTTAAATTAAGTTTTTGGCGGTTTTGCCTTTATGTGAAGGAGGACAGGTCCAAATGCCTGATTCTAACCTTGGACGCTATTTGGCGAGTCAAACTTTATGAAAATGTGTAAAGAGGGAGAGCGTTAGCAGTAGATGTATAACACTCTGAACTTTATCTCTTGAATGTCTTGCTGTTGTTACACTGTAATTATCCATTCCAATATTTCTTAAAAGGAAATTATGACATTAGACACACAAATTAATATATTGTAATGTATTTGATTGTTTTATTATTTAGAGTGCATTAAAACACTACGTGACTTGTGTTTCATTATTTAAACTTGGATTGTCATTGTGACTTTAAACACTGAAGCCCACATGCTTCTTTAGTTGCTGTTTAAGGGCTGTCTCTTGAAAAACAGAAGACTAGAGTAAATGTACAGTGTGTACTTTATATGGTTTTTACTGTAAACTAATGCACTGAGTGCAGATTTTAAAAGGGCATTTTAGTAGATATGTAATATATTGTTTTTATCATTAAAGTGTAAATAAATCCAGTTGGATATCGGTGAATCACAGAATGTTATTGTACAAGGAATATACACAGAATCTCCTTAAGGAGAGACCTATCATTGTGTTTTTAGCAGCCGTTTACAGTGAAAATGTGTATTTTGATCCATTCAATCAACCACATCTAAAGCCTTTTTTATGCTAAATCTAATCTAATCTTACGAGGCAATACAAGTGGTGCATTGAACTGTACTTTGAGGACAGGTGAGCCTTTTCAGGATACATTATGGGCTGCAATGCCCTCTTGTGGCAATCATCCTTAACTGTGAAACACTATTTTCTTATCAACACATTGTGTGCAGGCCGATCCAAACAGACCAAAATGAACATTATTCTTATAATCACTGGTGGAATAAATATTCATTCAAAAATAAAAACACAAAAGTACAAGCAACCCTAACATTGTATTATGTTATGACTAGATTAAGGAATATTTTTTAAATACTAGATTTTCATTGCAAAAGCTATGCTGTAGCAGCTATCATGCACATGTCAATAAAGCTTTTTAATCTTGAATAGAGATAGTATTTTGCAGCCCATCAGGACTAAGCACCGGACCTGAGGAGAAAAGGCCTTTCGCTGCATCGCTGCAGTAAAAAGCTATATAAATATTATGTATTATTATTATTGATCGATCCCAAATTGGAAATGTTTGTGTTACAGTGGCAGCAGGTTAAATAGCATTGCACAGGAGTACAAATACAAACAAATAACTTTACAAACAGTATCAATGCTAGAAAGATATATTGTATTTTGGATACACAATATAGTAAACAAATTTTTTTTACGAAAGAGGATGACTTAAACCAGTTGGTATGAGACTGAAATCTACTTTGAAAGACATGTCAGGTGTTTATTATTCTGAACCATACCTTTGAATTTCAGTTTTCCTCGTCAGCTGCAGTCTGAGTCTGTCTGCCTTTGAGTTGTAATGTGAACGGTCCTGTTGGCTCTCAAGGTTGTGCAGGACAGGACGGTCTTCTGTCTGTTATGTGTCAAACACTCTAGCCTACACCATGTGAAATCACTAAGACATATAGCTTAATACGCATATTCACAAGCTGATACAGGGATGGACATACATCTGAAAGGACATACCTCTTTGGACGTGATGTTAATGATGATGTTATTATTTATCATAATACAAAGAGCTAATTTATTTTGCTTTTGGACACAGATCAAGTGATTACAAAGAAAAAACAGATAAACAAGTATGGCCGGAAGCAGCTTGTCCTCCTGATACAAGTACTGTACAGAAGAACAATTTTGAGTGACTTTTACTTTACTTGAGTATTAAAATATGTTGCTACTTTGTACTTCTACCCCACTACAATTCAGAAGTAAATTGCGTACTTTTACTCAACTTCATTTATTTGATACCTTTAGTTACTTTGCATATTTGGATTAATGCTGTGAAATATAGACAACACTTAAATAAGACTTTAGTTACACCTGGAGTTTATTCACAAGCTACCCTGCAGTATACAAAGCAGTTAAAATTAGCTCCATGTTTACCAGTTTAACCACTTTAATGCATTAATAATTATAATCAAAACATATAATAATATTATTTTGAAATGGGCCAATTTGCACAATGGGTACTTTTACTTTGGGTAGGTATATTTTTATGTTGATACTTTTGTACTGTTACTTGAGTAACATTTTGAATGCAGGACTTCTACTTATAACAGAGTATTGCTTCACTCTGGTACTTCTACTTTAACTTAATAAAAGATCTGAGTACTTCTTCCACCTCTGGAAAAGACATAAGTAATTTCCATTTCTGCTTACTTTGTTGTATTAAGGAAGATTGTTTATTATCAAAAGCACAACAAATACAGAGAAGCAGTCAATAGCAATTGCAATGTCAGAGGCTCCCTCCAGCAATGCGTGATACATACTCGGTACTACTTTTACTTGAGTACAATATCTGCGTACTTCTCCCTTCTCTGTACATGTGTTCCTCTCCTGTGTGTGACCATCGTGGGCCTGAAGAAGAACACGTTTTGAGAAGAGGAGGAGCCACACTGCTCCCTACCATTTAAATTGAAACGCATGCGCAGTAGTCTACAATCGGGACTTATAGCTCTTACACAACTGTGCCTTTCTTCATTCTGCCTGCTTCTCCTCGCCGGTGTGTGGAAACCACTACACGTTTACTCATTTTAGATTTTTAACCAAACCACGCCAAGGAAATGAGTGGGGACCATTCCCACAATGAGGACCAGGTAATGCCATTTATGGTGGCTAATGGGCACCCTTTTGTTAGCCTTGATTTGACAAGATAACTTGGCTAACTGAATAGTGCATGCTAGCGCGCGTTAGCCCGAGTGTGTTTGTAACGATAATACAACTTATTGTGATTGTAACAGCATCCTGACACGTCTCATCATGTCTGTATACGTATTGTTAAGGACATGACCTGTCTGGTTAGCTCTCAGCTTTCACTGGCTACGTATGAACTGCCAGACAAAGTGGAGGTAACGCCACATTTGATTTGGCGTTAGCTTTAGCTGCTGCTAGCCCGTAGCGGCTCTGGTTTCAGCCGTTGATCCATGTTAACAGTCAGCGTAGCATGTTAGCATCGCTAGCATAGTTAGCATGGAAGCTAACAAACTCCCTATGCCAATCCAGCAAGTTCAAAGTTAGTTAGCCGGCTAGTTAGCCTCTACCATATTTAACATCAATCTGTTTTTGATTTTTCAGATTGACGGTGGCTCTCGTTTCAATGGTAAGTGTGTGACACGTTGTTAACAAGTTATAAGAGGGGTTTCTGACATGTATCCACTGATTAAATGGTAGTTCTCAGCAGAGGGCAGAAATGGCGTCCAGAGACTAAGTCCTCTGTCTCACTCTCAGGCGCCTATTGTTCAAAAGGGAGGTCTAATAAAAGCATTTCCGCCAGTTATTTTCTCCATTTCAGTCATTATTGGTACACACCTCGAGGTGTTTTATTAGTTTCCCGTGTCAGATTTGTTTGTTGGAAGGGTTTTAATGCCATATTTCCCACCTGAAAGTGAGGGTTTGGGGGTTGAGGACTTAGTCTCTGCGCCATTTTCTTTTTTCAGTGTAGCGGCCTGTCTGCTGCAAGCTGAACCCAGGCTGTGAAGTGTGCAGATGGCTGTGTGCAGGAGAAGTGGGAAGGCACAGTGCTCCGATAAGATCCCACGTAGAGACCAGAAAGGGTCTACAGTTTTTTAATATACGATCGTTAACTCCTTTTTATAGCATAACTTTTTATTATAGCAACTGCGACTTCAAATTCCCACATGCTAGGAGAAAGTGGACCGTTTTAAGTTGGATACTCATTTCAACAGACAGCACATAATTTCATTAACTTTAATGCTTTGTATCTCAAGCTAAACGAGAATATTGGAGGATATGAACATATTTTAGGGTATTAATAGTTTTGGGAGTTTTATTACTAGTATGTTTTTCAACTAATAACCTGTATAAAGCATCACCATATGTCATTCAAAGAAAAAACATTTTATTTGTAGTCCTGTTGATGTTGTCTAATGGTTTTAGGGTATAAACTCTAAATATTGTCCAAGTTAGTTATGTGTTTCAGTAATATTATTCGGGCCCTTTCAAATAAAATGAATCCAGCCACATAGCATGTATTATAAATCACGGGCTAACAAGTCTACTAAGAAATGACCTAAACATCACCAATCCACTTATTTGGTTTTCATTCATCAGCAATGGGAAAACAAACTACTGGGACCTAAATGATTCTGCATTTTCTTCTAATTATCAGAGAGATTGCTGGATAAATTCCACTCTGAAGTTAGAAAGTCCAGTCTGAGTACAATGTTGTGTGTGTGTTTTTAAAGAATATAACACCGACATGTTGAAAAGATAATAACATGTGCATCTGTTAAACGGATTAACTAGCACAAATTGTACTTTTTGCATTCATTTTGGATGGTTTGGGAGAAACGGCTTGCTAGTTTACCACATAAAACATATATTCTGAGATTTAGTTTTTCAGCTGTGAACTGTAGAGTGTAGTGTTGACCAAAAGTCTGTCAGATTTGCTCTTCAGTGTGTAGTAGGAGCGATCAAATGTCCTGTCTTTGAAATTGTCTCTACGTGATTTGGTCTAGTTTTGAGATGACAACACAACTCATCTCTGTCGTCTTCAAAAAAAGGAATAAGGGAACTCCTTTTACAATAATACATGTAATAAACAACGTAGTAAAAGTTTCATCCTTCATTGTGAATGAATGAGTCATTTGTCAAACCACTTTCTTTATAGACTGTTTGTCCTACACTGGCATTCCAGGACAATATGGACATTTTTTGGGACGGTGTTTAGTAAACCAGACTGTTTACATTTCTTGTGACCAAGTGTATTGCCTAATACCCCTGAAGCTGGTAGACTTGATTTGGTGTTTACGTCAAGATTGGGTGTGGGCTCTTTGATTTGGGTAATTGCCTTCTTTTCATACAATAAGAGATTTTTTCTTTGTCCTGTGGTTTACAAATTAAAGAGACTATTTTGTTCATTGGCATGTTTCAACCTGTCAGATGTTTGATGATGTCTCAAACAATTACCCTTATATGGGCAGTAGGTGGTGCTGTACTACTGTGTAATACATTTCTCAGTCTACATTGTGCATGACATTCAGATAGTGGTGCATGTTGAGACCAATTGTAGCAATTTGTTTTCACTTAGAGCGGCTATTTGAGGGGACAGTGTTATTTCGGTTGTCAGTTTTTCAGCCTGTCCACATTAGCATCTGCTTTAGGGGAGTACACTTTGTTCAATGTTTGCCACTTGCTAATAGCTTCATAATGATTTCAGCACGAGGCAGGCGTACCATGTATTCAGTCCATTGTTATTGTCATTATCTTTTCATTTCAAGAAGTTGACGAATGTTTTTCCTCTCATAGACTCCCACAAGCATAAAGACAAGCAACACAAACATAAGGACCACAAGAAGGACAAGGAACGAGAGAAATCGAAGCATGGCAACAGGTACAGGCCGAGCTTCATAAATACATATTTCTGTCGATATCGGCTCAAAGCAAGAAATACTGTCATAACCAAATTCTATGTATTGATTTTCTGAAGGTGAAACGACCTACATTCAATAGTTCTGTGTTTTATTTTTATTTTAGCGATCACAAGGACTCCTCTGACAAAAAGCACCGAGACAAGGAGAAGGAAAAGATGAAGCACAAAGATGGCAGCGCAGACAAACACAAGGACAAGCACAAGGAGAAGAAGGTGAATTGCCATGCACATAATTAATGGAAGAATGCACATGTGGCTGTGCATGTGAAGTTGTGATTTTAGGTTTCATCATTATGAATTATTCTGCGATATTAAGCTCTGTCAAGTCATACACTCATGGTCGTGGCCTGAAGCTATTTAAACTACTAAAAAAATATACAGCATACATTTGTCCGTGCATCTTCTGTTTGAATTATGATCTTGCTAAAGCTGCATTATCGAAAGGACATAGCAATCAGAATCAGAATGCCTTTATCGACACTGGATCACTACATGCGTAAATATTGTTTTTTGGATCATGTAGCTTCATTTGGCTTTAAGCCGCTAAACAGTAATACGATTTGGTAACTGCTTTTGTTTAAGTTTATACTTAATTGGTCTGCAAGTATGGTGAATGTTGAGGAAAACTGTTGAATAGTGGCAGATTCTTTAGTTATTATTATTATTATGGGAGGCTGTGGCGCAGTGGGTTAGTGCGTTGATGTTCGGATCAGGGGAGCACAGGTTCAAACCCCACTGCAGTCAGCATGTCGTTGTGTCCCTGGGCAAGACACTTCACCCCAAATTGCTCCTGTGGGGATTGCCCACAGTATTGAGTATGTAAGTCGCTTTGGATAAAAGCGTCTAACAAGTGACAAGTAATGTAGTTATTATAATGTTTGTCTTATATAGTGACCTGGATTGGCTTGTTGGTCCACTATAGCAAACTGGTAAAGATGCATAAACTGTTACCACTCAGAATGATGTTTATGTATAAGAAGGTTAACTCGTAATTATAAAACTAAATTGGACTGACCAACAAAATAACAACATATGCAAACAGCTAGACTGTTATTATAAAACATTTATTCAAACATCTTTGTGTTGACCTTTCAGATGAAGTCGCTTGACGGTAAAGTGAAAAAGGAAAAGGAGAACGGCTTTGCCAGGTATGCTTAGACATTTCACTTCAGTCCCATATTTATGCTACCAGCTGACGCATTGTAATATGAAGCCATATCAGATTTTCAATGTTTTTTTCTTTTTTTTCAGCCCTCAAGTAAAGACTGAGCCGGAGGAAGATTTTTACCACTCGCCTAAAATTGAGAAGACTCTAAAAAGAGAACGTGATGTTGATATTGAGTGAGTGTTCTTTCAGATTACACTTCCTGGATGTCCATGTTTCTGTTTCAAAAGTGTAGTTTTTTTACTGTGACCGCAACTGTAACATGTGTATATTGTTTCCCCCCCAGTTCTGAATTCAAGCCCAAAAAACTTAAGATTGAAAATGACAAGAAGGTAAAGAAGCGGAAACAGGAGGACGAGGTGAGCAGAAGGCCATCTTGGGTTTTCTTTCTAACTTTAAAACAATGAAATGAATCCCCTTTTTCTCAAAGCACAACATCTTTCGTGCTTTTATTTTTCTCTCAAGATGTGAGAAAAATAACTTGAGTTTCTCTTCCCTTTTTTATTTTAAGGACATCAAGCCCAAAAAAACAAGAAACAAGCCAGGAGTTGCTGATGGTAAAAAGAAAGCAAAGAACGAGCCAGAGGAGAAGTGGAAGTGGTGAGTTGTCTCTGCCAGCTGTACGACAGTTGCACACTCATCAGTATGTGGATGTACTTCGTGTTATTTTTGGATAAAGTAATGTTTTGTTTCTGTGCTATATTCAAATTCCTGATTGGATGTGCTGGTTTGGTTGATCCCAGGTGGGAAGAGGAGAGAGCCACAGACGGCAGCAAATGGAAGTTTCTTGAACACAGAGGGCCCGTGTTCGCTCCGCCTTACGACCCACTTCCTAATAATATCAGATTTTTCTATGATGGTAAGATTGAACTCTAACAGCTGCACTGTTGATGAATGTTATAGCCAGGGTGTCCGCGGGGTTTTCAAAAAGTATTAAAAGTTGATAAATCAATTTAGCGAAAATTAAGGCTATTAAAAAGTATTAAACGGCATTTTCCAAGGTATTACTTTTTGTAGCTTGTTTTCAATAAGTATATAAATTGTCCAAAGAGGTTGTATTCTACAGTCTGCCTGAATGTAATCATTGCGTAGGTGTGTAGTGTGATTCTGTGTAGTTTATTTATGGCATCCCGTTGGATTTGACGTCATCTGAACAGGACATTGCACGCTCACTGCTTGATAGCGCGCGAAGGTCCGTTTACGCCGGTTGTTAAACAACATCGTTATGGGGAAATGCAAGTCTGCGTCCAAATGGTTGGAAGATAAGGAGGAAGGACAATCAATACTGTATATAGTCAATGTGAGGTAAAGTGTGTCTCCAATTGTAACTCAAAGTGGCGATGAGGTCTTAACATGTATGGAAAGGGTCTTAAAAAAGGTCTTAAATTTGACTTCAGGATTCCTGCATATACCCTGTATAGCATGTCAGCGTGGTACCAAACGCACCTATGTTTGCATATTTTAGGTAAGCAAATGAAGCTGAGCCCAGAGGCGGAAGAGGTGGCCACGTTCTTCGGCAAAATGCTCGACCACGATTACACCACAAAGGATATCTTTCGTAAAAACTTCTTTAAAGATTGGAAGAAGGTAGGAATTCAATGGAAGTATAATCTGTATAAAATCTTGGTAAATGAAAAATAAATCTGTTGTTAAAGCGCGTCATGTTTTGCTGATGCAGGAAATGAATGCAGAGGAAAAGGGTAAGATAACAGATTTGAAGAAGTGCAACTTCTCCGAGATAAACGACTACTTCAAGGCTCAGTCTGAAGCCAGGAAGGCCAAGACAAAGGACCAGAAACTGGTAAGCTACTAAATGTTTCAAAGTAGCATTTGTTATATTTGTCAACAGTACAGGTCAATTAAACTGAAAACACAAGGCAGTCTCCTTCGTTACTACTTGTTTAATTACATAGTTGTCTATCTGATTAAATGGGAGTCACACCATCGACCAGTTGAGGGTTGGAGATCTGAAAAAATTAATTGAAATCCTTTCAAACGTCGCCCATTCAAACATGGTACATAACAATAACTACACATAAGTTAAGTTGGCAGACCTCAACATCTGCCACACTTTTTCATGTTTTTTTAATACCAGAGGATTCAGTAAGGGTAGCTTGCCACTAGGGCTGTACCCGAATATTCGTTCGTTGGAGTACTATTCGGCTTTCAATTTCGTTATTCGCTTTTTTTTTTTTTTATTGAATTTATTGAAATCTCAAATATCAACGTAAGAGCTTGTGCCTCTTCGGGGGGTGCTAACACTTAACCATAAACTTTATCGTTTACTTTCTCCGTCTTTATATGTAGATATGACTTTTCTCATTCACGTTGTTTCCATAGCAACAACAACTTTACCCCCAAGTCATGTCTTAGATGTCCATATTAAATTCCCTGTATTTTCACAACTTCAATCCAGTTTAAGTCTTAATTGTCCTACATCAAGGTAAACTCGTTTTTTTAGTCGATGAACAGTCCTTTTATTCTTGTAAAGGACTTTGTGATCTCTCTTTTTGGTCATCAAACATTGCTTATTTATGAAGTCATAAATGGTGTCAAATGTGCTTCTCTAAGTCATTTTTGACCCGTATATGTTCGTCAACATTCTAGTTTTGTCAACAAGATAAAACGATGTTTTTTATGTTTGGTCTTTGTAGAAATTAAAGGAGGAGAACGAGCGCCTCCTGCAGGAGTACGGCTTCTGCATCATGGACAACCACAGGGAGCGCATTGCTAACTTCCGCATCGAGCCCCCGGGTCTGTTCCGAGGCCGTGGAGACCACCCGAAGATGGGCATGCTCAAACGCCGCACCCGGCCCAAAGACATCATCATCAACTGCAGCAAGTGAGTGCAGTGAGTGTTGCTGGTGTACGGATGTTTTACGAGAATTCAACGACTAAATGTTTATTCTTTCCTCCTAGGGACTCAAAGCACCCCGATCCCCCTCCAGGCACCAAGTGGAAAGAGGTTCGCCATGACAACAAGGTGACCTGGCTGGTGTCGTGGACGGAGAACATCCAGGGCTCCATCAAATACATCATGCTGAACCCCAGCTCCAGGATCAAGGTGAGCCGAGTGCTGCACTTTAAGGGCGTTTTCATATTTCATTCCTCTGTGTGCTGAACGGCGTACACTATTCATCTTTAAGTAGCATAGAGTCCTCAGAGTGTAGGAGACAAAATGCTTATTGAGCCTGTTTTTTTATTGTTCATCATCACTTCCAAGAATCCATTTTATGGCCTTTCTTCCATCTGCTAAGGGGTTTGCTAGGCTGAGACAAAGGAAGTGAGCTAGGCTTGGAAATGGTCTGTTGACTATCAGGTCCCTCTTCAGTGATTTCATTATTTTCTTTGATAAATATTGTTAAACAACATCCCTACAGTGCTGACTTATTTGAAATCTGTCCCAGTGTCAACCCTAATTTAGCCCCTTAGCAGCTATATGAAATGTAGTCGCTATAGAGTTTGTTGCTGTTACTCGAGACACTTCAATCTGTAAAAAGTGAGACTACAATGATTACCTGCTGTGCTGTGCAGCAGCTACTAACTACATTTCGTGTTCATATTGTGACTGTCAACACAAACATGGCCCCATCTAATTCATTAGTCACTCATTCGTCTGTCTGCAGGGCGAGAAGGACTGGCAGAAGTATGAGACGGCTCGCAGGCTGAAGAAATGTGTGGAACGCCTCCGAACCCAGTACCGCGAGGACTGGAAGTCTAAGGAGATGAGGATCAGACAGAGAGCCGTGGCACTCTACTTCATCGACAAGGTGAGCGGCATGAGCACTATTAACATTGTCTGTACTGTATGTAGCTTTGGGGAGTTCATTGTCCTGTAATTCCTTTTTAAATACTCGTGAGTGGGGTTTAGCAGGTGCTTAAATGCTGGCCTGCAGTCGGAGGGAATGTCTTTTGTTAATCCGGCTGTCCTGATGTGCTCTAGCTGGCGCTGAGAGCGGGTAACGAGAAGGAGGAAGGAGAGACGGCCGACACCGTGGGCTGCTGCTCTCTGAGAGTCGAGCACATCAAACTTTACCCAGAGAACGACGGACAGGAGTTCGTGGTGGAGTTTGACTTCCTGGGTAAAGACTCCATCCGCTACTACAACAAAGTCCCTGTGGAGAAGAGGGTAAGGACACACTCTGAACCCAGAGACACAACCAGAAGGATTTGAAAAGCATGTTTTCTTTTTAAATAATCAATGTTCTGATGAGGTGAGAAGTTAATGTGTTTATGTTATTAATGCTTATGGAAGTAGAAGATCAAAGCTTGTGTGATGTCTCATTTATAGATGCCATCAAAACTAAACATGTTTCCTAACCAGATTCAGTGTGAAAACCTTGAGTAAAACATGTTGTATTTATGTATTTTCTTCCTCTTTTAGGTGTTCAAGAATCTCCAGCTGTTCATGGAGAACAAGGAGAAGGACGATGACTTGTTTGATCGCCTGAATGTAAGCAAAACAACGTGTGAAATGAAACAACTTCGCTGTATACATTTATTTTTGCCAGTTGATTGCATATAGAAAAAGACAATAACGGTTGTTCTTGTGGGAATTAATAACTATCATTTCTTTAACGTTTCCCTCCAGACTTCTGTTTTGAACAAGCACCTTCAGGAGTTGATGGACGGACTGACCGCCAAAGTCTTCCGTACCTTCAACGCCTCCATCACCCTGCAGCAGCAGCTCGTGCATCTCACCAGCGGTACGGCTCCACCTGCTCCCAGTTTCTCTAAAACCATGTGACTACTCTATGAATCATTGTGCATCCAGTAAACTCCTTATCCTCTCTCTCTCTCTCTCTCCAGCTGATGAGAACCCCACGGCCAAGATCCTGTCCTACAACAGGGCCAACAGGGCCGTGGCCATCCTGTGTAACCATCAGAGGGCTCTACCAAAGACCTTCGAGAAGTCCATGCAGAACCTGCAGGCTAAGGTTAATATGAGTTAGTTTTTTAATACTCTTAAAGACTAATCCTGAGATGGAGCTTAGTTTAGAGTTGGGAGGGATGAAACCCTCTTCAATGGTCACACATGCAGAGCACACAGTGACATGTGTTCTCTGCATTTAACCCATCCTAGTACCAGGAGTCTAGTACGTCTAGTACCAGGAGTCTAGTACCAGGAGTCTAGTACCAGGAGTCTAGTACCAGGAGTCTAGTACCAGGAGTCTAGTACGTCTAGCACCAGGAGTCTAGCACCAGGAGTCTAGCACCAGGAGCAGTGGGGAGCTATTGTACAGCGCCCGGGGAGCAATGGGAGTGAGGGGGGAAGGGGGGTATCACCACGGCAGGGCAGGAGGTGAACTGGGACCTCTCCAAGTAGCAGTCCACACCATACTTTAGGTCTGGTCGGGGGCTTGAACCGGCGACCCTACAGCTCCCAGTCCAAGCCCCTACTGACTGAGCCACTGTCTTTATATACCTGTATTTGTGGGTTCCATTGAAATGTCATCTTGTCAATAGTTTAAAGTTAAAGTAAGGATTTTCCATCTCCAAACGATTAGAAAGTGTATGACTCTTTTTTTATAGAGATATCCTGCTTTTCTGTTTCATCACTTGTTTTAGTTTTCTGTTTGAGACTAATCCCTGTTTGTTTCTTTAGATCGATACTAAAAGGGACCAGCTCGTTGATGCCAAGAGAGACGTTAAGAGCTCCAAGGCAGACGCTAAAGTACGGAGAGATGAGAAATCCAAAAAGTAAGACTCTAAAATGTTTTCTCTGGTGAAAGGTCTTCCTCCCAGCTCAGCCCTGTTCTCCAGTCCTGACCTGTGTTGCTCTGCAGGTCTGTGGAGGCCAAGAAGAAGGCTCTGGAGCGGATAGAGGACCAGCTGATGAAGCTGGAGGTGCAGGCGACCGACCGCGAGGAGAACAAGCAGATCGCTCTCGGCACCTCCAAGCTTAACTACCTGGACCCTCGCATCTCCGTGGCTTGGTAAGATAATGTTGGAAAGTTGTTCTTAAAGAGTCCTTATTATTTTCTCTTCCTGTAGAGCAGGGGTGTCAAATACACAGTGCAGGGTTCTTACGGTCATTAAAAACCTGGAAAAGTCATGGAAATTCAAAATGCTAATTCCAGGCCCTGGAAAAGTTATGGAAAACAATATTTTTCCCAAAGTTTTGGAAAAGTAATGGAAATGTAACTAAAGTTGCATCAAATATAATTTATATTTTATCTAATCGCCGAAATAGTAATACTATAATGATAATACATACTGTACAGTAATGAAACATAAAATGGCATTTAACTGTCGAGGTGTTTTGCTGGTCAGAGATTTTAGTTGCTTTAGCCTGTAGAAGCTAGTAAGCCTACTATTTGATTTGTTTTAGATGGGCACAACATGTTTCATATGCAGACCTTATTTTCCTGTTCCATGTGGTACCGCTGAGAAAGAGTAATTTTTTTGGTCATGGAAAATTTGGTAAAGGTCATGGAGAAGTCGTGGAAAAATCATTGGTGAAAAAGTGTATGAACCCTGACAGTGGGCCAAAATAAAAAAATCGGTACTAGTCAAGGGCAGCACTGGTTCAATGTTTAATGCAGAACTTATTGAAATGAACTTATTGCACATATTAAACCTGGAACTAACAAAGCTTAAATGATTGCCTATGAAAACATTAATCATTAAATATTCAGTTGCATTCATTTCTTATGGCTCTATCTGCAGCTTTTCCAGAGTCATTTCTTATGATTACATTTCTCCACAGGCCAACAACAGCTTCAAAAAAACAATTTCACTCAAAGAAAAAAAACAAACATGCCCTGTTGTCGTGAGAGAAAAAGTGCAGAAGGAAACATCCATTAAACTCAGTGTGCTGCTCTGTGATGCTATCAAGCCAGATACTTGGAATCTCATCTTGGGTGCAAGTTCATCAATGTTTGGGCTTAGGCTCTGAGCTGAGGAGACCCTCAGGATTGAGTGAAGGTGTGCGTGCAATATACCGGCGGGCCAGATCTAATAGTAATTAGAAATTATCCTGCGGGCCGAAATTAAATTCTCCAAGGGCCTGATTTGGCCCCCGGGCCTTGAGTTTGACACGTGTGCTGTAGAGTGTTGTATAGGTTTTTGTGCATGTAAATGGTCTGCAAAGGCTGAAATCTCAAAGTTCGGTGTTGGCTAGCGATCCAACAAATTGTACGTCATCGTCTAAGGGCCAGCTAACCAATCAGAGCAGACTGTGCTCTGGTTTCAGACAAAGGCAGTATGAGAAAGATGAAGCCCTTTTTGAACATTAAAGCATGTAAACATGTCACAGCAGAGGCACAAAATACAAATATGAAGCTGTAAGAGGGTAGTATTATTTCATCTTTAAGATCATATCTGACAAGTTTAGCCTTGAGAGATACATTTGAAAAGGGGAGATGAAGGTGAAAGGTCACACTAGGTTGTCAGGTTGGGGACCAGAGGCGGGATCAAACCCACGTCTGCTGTAGCATGAACTGAGCCCCAGTACAATGACCCAAACTATTCAACCTTACCTGGTTCCTTTTTGAATAATACACCTTTTCTTTTGTCTCCCCAGGTGTAAGAAGTGGGACATTCCCGTGGAGAAGATCTACAACAAAACCCAGCGCGAGAAGTTTGCCTGGGCCATGGACATGGCAGAGGAGGACTACGAATTTTAAAATCCGTTTTAAAATGTGGTTTTATCTATGACACACTCGTTTTTTTTATCGGATACTTGTTTTTTAGCTTAACCGAACTTCGCTCGATGGCCAGACCCCGATCAGGAATTTCCGACAGTTTGAGCAGAGAAAGCAGCGATGGAGGAGGAGGCCATCATGACGTGGCAGAAGGGGGTTGTGGGTAGTCTTAAACGTCTGATCTGAGATCAGGCATAAAGGCTGAACTATACCCTCGACCGAGCATCAAGGCTTTAGCCCCCGTAAGTGGAAGACCTTTGTACCTTCTTGTCTCTCGCCCTCCGCGGGGACGATGCCTGAACTCTGAACTCTGTGGTCCTATAGCTACTGTATTCAGCAAAAAAAACAAAAAAGGCTTTGTATCATTTTTATTTTCTCTGTTCACTTGCTTTGTATTTTAGCCCTCCCATGTATTATTAAGGAATTCTATATTTTGATAGACAAAGTTAAATCAAATGAATTCCTTAACTACACCCACGCGCCTTTCGAGGAAATGGAAATGTGAGCTTGAGTTGTGTGTGTGTGTGCATGAGTGTGTGTATGAGGGGCTCGGCCATGGATTTGTTTGGGTGAATATTTCAAACTGGACTATGTTGTTGTTTAGCATGACAGAGGATGTCTGGGCAGGCAGAGGGGAGGAAATACTGCAACCATGTCAATATTTACTTAAGCAAGCAGAATGTGAATATTTAGTTTTACCACCTCCATCAGGGACTTGTTTTTCAGTGTAAATGTGAACCAATCATTTGTACGCATCCTCCGAATCTATCTGCAGCGCTCTGTCTACATCTGATTTTAACTTAATTTAACAATTCAACATTTTAAAAAACACAAACGCCCACATATGTTACTTGAAGATAATGCTATGATAATGTATTTAAAGTCATTTTAAATGGAAAGTGTTTTTCTTCCCAGAAAAGGGTATGTGAGGGATATCAACTTTGCCAAAAAAAAAAAAAAAATCACCAATCTGTTACAACTTAGGCAGGTTTTTTTTTAATTGTGTAAAAATTGAGGATATAATAATGTAACATTCAATGTGAATTATCAGTTCATTTTATTCCACTTTTATGATAGGAAATGTGATGTTTGTAGCTGTAAAGTCAGAACATCCTATTCCTGTTTTACCTTTTTGTCATAGCCTTTGATCATGTTTTATTTGAGTTTTATGCTCATTGTAGGTTGAAAATGAATAAAATCCTACAATTAAACACACTTTTTTTTATTTACTTTCACACTGCAATTTATCTTAAAGGTAGGGTAGGTAAGTTTGAGAAACCGGCTCGAGATCGCTAGAATTTGAAAATACACAACCGGAGAAAATCTCCCACTTCCTTACAGAGCCCCTCCTCCAACACACACGAACGCGCACATGACCAATGAGGGCACGAGATAAGTTTGTGCCCCGATGGAAGGCTGACAGGCAGGTAGGCCATCCAGTTATTCTAAAAATGATTGGTCGTGCTTTTTACAGTATTACGGCTTCCACAGATGACATTTTTTTTTATGGATTTTTTGTCAAAGCACTTAAGATATTCATTGCTATCGGGATGTTAAGAGCATTCAATGGAATATAACAAAAAGTGTATCTCGAGCCGGTTTCTCAAACTTACTTACCCTACCTTTTAAGTTTGTACATTTATAGAAAGTTGATTCTTAAGTGTTTTTCTCACACAAACACATTTTTATTTCTCACCTTAAGAGGCCCGATTCTGCTTTTTTCAAGTGTTTCCTTTCCTGTACAGTGTTTGGTTTTTGTGCAAGCGGGTCCAGGCCACTGACCAAGTCCAGGACCATTTGGGGCAGGGGAGAAGGGTGGGAGGCAGGGTGGAGATACCCCAATCATTAGCATAATAGGACTTAAAAACATGCATAGAGGACTGAGATGATCAGCCTGTGAGGTGGGTTTAACAACCTTTAAAGGCAAATGAACAGTACCAAGAATAAATGATATCCAATCCTAACAATTTAACTTCTCCTTATGGATGTAGGTATTTAAAAAAATGTCTGGTGTACTTATTCCTGTGATAAGTAGGCTGTAAGTCTGGTACCATCTGGCAGGCTTGAAGCATATTATTTGCCCACTTTATTTAAGACACCATCTGCATTCATACATAAGGCCTTATGCCTAATGATACACCTCACAGACGATAAATAAAGGGTCTTTCGGTCTGTAAACAGTTTAAATATTTCCCCTGTATCTCAGCTCCTGGCACTAACTGTACTGCCAGCTGCTCTCCAGCAGGGGAGGCTGTGTGCATTCCTCCAGTGGATTACCTGCTACTTGCTCAATCAGCACTGAATAATTCGATTGCTATCCATGCACGACATCATTCATATTCACTCCTGGTGCAAGGTGCTGAAACAAAATAATGAGGCGTGACTGCTTGGTGAGTATTCAGTTTATTCTGTAAAGATTCAGAAGTGTAGAAAGGATGATACAACAGTGCTTTATGATCAGACTATTTCATAAAAGTTTTTTTTATTTTATTTTTTTTAAATGATCATAACACCGTAAGTCCAGATTCCATGTATCTCAAACCAAAATAAATGTGTAACATTCGACACAAGTGCATACACTGCTGGTAGGAGATTGACCTCCAATTTCACTTTGGATGGTATAGCACCGTTCTTAGCTATTAGCAGCTTGACAAAGATGCAGCTTCATAGGATTCATGTAGTGACTGTATGTTTATATGAACACAAGAAAATTCAGAGGAGAGCAATCCTCATTTGGCTCTCTAGCTAGCACAATATCTCACTCTGTCAGTGTCTAGGGATCAAATTGATAATTTCGCTTTAAACAACATTTCGCCAGTAACAATATTTGATACAATTACAGCTTAAAGTTAAACATCTCCAAGTGTACAGAAAGCAGCACAAGATTCTTTTCACAGATATAGACAAACAGTGACCATTGATGCACTGGCATATTTTTTTGTCTTTTTCCTTTTTTTTCTGTTTTCAGGACAGCACGATAGCTGGAAAGCAAGTGTATGGACAGACAGGTCATATAAACACATGGACAGAGCTGAGTAAGGCAACGTTAGCGTGGCAGGCTTCTCTCTGTTCAGTTTGCAGGGCAGTGTAGTGTATTGATCTCCAGCGAGCGCTCAATACCTGTGCTGTGGGGCAGTGTGATTTTTAGCATTGCTGTCTTCATTAGTGCATTGTATATAGTCTTTTGCGTGTAGCTGTTCTGCAAAGTGATCACTAACATTTATACAGATCTAAATAAACCATGTTTGATTGCATCTGGACTTACAGTGACTATAGAAGAGTAAATAGAATTGAAAAACCAAATAACGGAAAAAGTAAAATTCAAGGCAGTGCTGAAGTACTGGTTGCTAAAAAAGTAAAAAATATCACAAAGCCAACAATAACATTTCCTTGACACGTCTTTTTGTTTGTCCAGTCAGTACAAACCCTCTTTAGTGCAGTTTCAATCATATATATATATATATATTTTTCCCTCTCACCCAAACACAATATCTCGCGGTCCTACTTATCTTCGCTCATTCAAGTCAGTTTTCCAGTCAGTGTGCGTCTTTTCTCGTTCTTTTCTTTGATCCCTCGTACTGACCTCATTGTGCACCCTCCCCACACAATCACAAAGAAGCATGAAAGGCTTAAACATCACAGGACTCAAAGGTGAGAAGTTCTTTCTTTTGACGATGGCAGGAAGTGATGGCAGATGGAGGAGGAGGAGGAGGCGGCGGAGGAGGAGGAAGAGGAGGGTTGGGGGGTATTCACAGTTACAGTCAGAGTCCATCGGTCCAGCTACAATCACATCTGCTGTCATTATGAACACTCTTGTTTAGACCTCGTCCAGGGGAGCGAGCCTTTTAAAAACCTCTCGTTCCTCCGGCTTCATCACACCTCCAGCAGCTCCATCCTCAGGCGATCCCTGTCAGAAACATGCAACAAATCGTGAGGTCGTGATTGTACACTTCCTGTTTAAGGAGGCTTGTTAAATCGCCTCTTGGAAATCCATCCCATCAAAGACAATTGTCATGATTTATTCACATATATTAGCATGCGCTCTCGATCTATAATTCAGCAGGCCAGACTCCTCCTTATCTAAAAATAGCGTCTTAAACACGGACCTTTGATTGCCTGAAGAAGCAGCTCAGCGTGAGTACCTGTACACTTCTTCTCCTGCCTCCTTTTTACTGTACATCACCGAACCACCACTACAAACAACAAGCTGTCAGGCTTTCATCACGGCATCTGGCTTACATTGTTTTTGTTTTCCTTGATTGATAAATGGCACTACGACTGTAAATTATCAGAAGGCGCTGTGAACGAGAATCTTACTAGAGTTGGAAGAAGTACTCAGATCTTGTACTTAAGTAAAAGCAAAACCATCAAAGAGCAGGAATACTCTGTTACAAGTAAAAGTCCTGCATTCAAAATCGTACCTAAGTAAAAGTACAAAAGTATTAGTATTTGGTACCAAAAGTAATCATTATGCAGATATACCCATTTCATATAATATATATGTTATGTTTTGATTATAATTATTGATGCAATAATGTGTTTATCTAAGCTGGTAAAGGTGCAGATAATTTGAATACTATTGTACACTGCAGGGTAGTTTGTTGATTTTACTCCAAGTGTAACACAAGTCTTATTTAAGTGTTGATTACATTTATCAATAATCAAAATATGCAAAGTAACTAAAGGTATTAAATAAATGTAGTGGATTCAAATTACCCTATTAACCTCTGGATTGTATTGGGGTAGGGGTGGCAAAACATGGAAACACTCAAGTAAAGTACAAGTATCTCGAAATTGAAAGTACTATAGAGAATCTACTGAGTCACTGATGACGGACGTACCTGGCCTGATTGGCGTCACTCTGTTCGATGAGTGCCTGCGTGGCCTCCGGCTGCTGGTGGTCCTCGGCCCTCTGGGCCCAGGGGTCCTGCAGGACTACGGGCTGCGCTGCCTCCTCAGCTCGGCCTCGATCCACGCTCCCCTCGGACCCCATCAGACCCAGCAGCGGGGAGAATGAATCCTGCCACACAACCCGCGCGTTCAGTCCTGCCTCTCCTTCAAGGTGCTTGTTCACGGCGAGCTCAACAAGTTTCTTTTTGGCTGCCGGAGCGTCCTTCTGCGACTCGTCATCCGCTTCTCCGTGGCTCCTCACTTCCTCTGTCACTGGTGGTGGTGGTCGTTGGTAGGTCTCGAGCCACTTCGGCTGCCCGTTCTTGTGGCTGTAGCGGCTGTCGCTGAACCAGCGCACCACCTCCGACTTGGGAAGGCCCGTCTGGCCGCTCAGCTCCTCGTACTGCTGACTGCTGGGCCAGCGCGTGGTGGAGAACACCTGGCGGAGGATGTGCAGCTGCTGGGGGGTCTTGTTGGCCCAGGGCGGTGAGAATGACGGCACCTCGGCTATCTCGGACTTATGATCCCGATGTGCAATCTCAGCCGTAGTATCTGGTTCGTTAATCTTCAGCCTCTTAAGGTTGATCTTGATGGGATTGATCTTCAGCTCCGGGCCGCTTCTGTCTCCAACATATGGGTTCTCGTCGTTGATTAGTTGCTGTAGGATCGACATGCCTTTTATGGGAACGTTCTTGTTGCATTTACCCTCGTCTAAAACAGAGGATTTCGCAATGACACAAGTGCTGGTGCTCTCAGTTGGGGATTTGCTGGCATGGTTCAGGTTAGGGACACTGTCATTACAGGGAGTACTGGGGTGTTCATTGATAATACTGCTGTTGTTGGTCTTGTTGATGCGATAGTCGTTCGGTTCAGCGGCGCTGGCCTGCTCTTGTGGACTGATGATGCCGTTGTTGTGATTGTTACAGGTGATGGTGAATTTGCTGGTGCTGTCGATGATCACTTGACTCTTGGGGCCGTTTGAACCTCCCAATCTGATTGGCGAACTGCTTTGAAGGTTTGCTTTCCTGTTGGAGTTGGCAACACAGTGCTCATCATTATTGCTAATGTTGGTAGGGCCAGTGGCGAAGATGTTATTTGGGCTGCTGTTTTGCACCGGTTTCCTGTTGTGAGTCTCAACCCCATTACTACTGCTGGAATAGCTGCTGATGCTGCTGCTGCTACTGCAGCTACTGTTGCTACTGCTGCTCCGACTGCTGCTGGTGCTACTCACACAAACGCCACCTCCAGCCATATCCAAGCTCAGGCCATTGCTCTTGTGTGGCTCCACAGTGGGTTGAACACTCTTGGTCAGTACCTGCGTTGTTCTGACAACAGATGGGAACCTTGGGGGGAGAATTGGAGTAGAGTACGAGACCCTGGTGACATTGGGGTTGGTTGACATGCTTGTTTGTGTGGCTCCGACAGGCCTTTTCATACCACCGAAGGGAACTTTGGCCATCTGAAAGTTTGGTCCTTTTGAGCCTGCGTGGACAGTGTGGTGGGTTACAATGTGATTGACGTGCCGCTGTACTGCGGGTTGCTTCTGCGGCGCTCCACCCTGGAACACCGTGTTGAACATCTTCCTCCTGGCCTCGTCGATCTCTTCCGGAGACCAGCTGATGCCCTGCTTGAGCCTTTGGGCGGTAAACCACAGTTTGATCTGCTCCTCTGGGAACTCTGAGACCACCGTCAGGTAGCAGAGCTCGGCTTTGGTCGGGTAGGGGAATTTGCCAAAGGATGTCTTGAGAAAACTGCTGGTGTCCATGGCGGCATCGTAGGTGGGGATACTGCTGAGGGGGATCATCACCTTTGGAAGGTCTCTATTGGAATCAGAGGGGGAGGAGTAAAGGGAGGGAGTGTGCTGGTGAAAGACTTGGTTGGGCACTGTCGTCCTCGTCACGTGAGCGACAGTTGTCCTCGGCATAGCTGGAGCGGCAGAAAGACTGAGAGCCCCGTTTTGGAGTTCAGGCACATTTGTCATCATGCTGGGGTCTACATCCTTTCCAGTGTCTATCTTGCGTACCTCCACGGTGTGAGAAACCACAATCTTTTTGTGCTCCCCCTTGCTTTTCATCATCTTTGCAATAGGTGTTTTTGTGAGGGAGATTGAGCATTCTCTGTAGTCCTCTCCGCTCTCGGTGAAGAGGCTCTGCTCCACTGTGGTTACTCCATCCCTCTTGTTGACAGTCAGGGAGGCAGTGACCAAGCCCTCCATTACCTTAGGGTGGGCGGTAGCATTATGGAGCGCCAGAGCCTCAAAGCGGACGACCGACACCTCACAGTTCAGGCAGTAGAAAGTGGGCTGAGCCCTGAAGTCTAAGTGGCAGTTGTGCATGTGATCCAAAAAGTAGTTTAGATCTCTGGACTCGAAACGGCACTTTGGACAGCTGTATGCACCTGCTTTCTGCATCTCGCTGCCACTGTCGGATTTGGAGGAGCTGTGAGAGAAATGGCCAGACTTTTCTCCAGAGATGCTGAGTATGCTGTCTTCTGGGATGGTTGGTAGCAGTTCTGGTAGCGAGCCCAGTATGATTTCCTCACGCACATGTTTGGATTTGGATGGTATCATGCATGGTACCGTGGATTTCCTCTTGCTGGCCATGGTGCAGCTCTGTGTTGATGGAGAGTGAGTGATTGCTTGTCCGGTGTGATGAGAACAGAGGGCGGGTGGAGAGTGGAGAGGGTTTAATGGAGTTTAGTGTCATGGACCAGCCACTATGATATCACAGTGTTGCTTCATGCCCTCTGCAGGACTCCTGTCACATGGACAAGTTTAACAGCTCCAAGGGAACCTGTGGGAAAAGAGGACAACAAAAGAGACATGTGACTCTTTTATCTTGAATCTGGTATAAAAAAGCAGTATATGGCACCAGAGCATCAACACAATTACAGATAAAAAACGGTTTTATATGGAAGGCAGTTTATAATTCTGCTTTAAGAAAATTCCAATATTAAATATTCATGCATGATGTATTTAAGTAAGCAGGATGATGAAAGATAAAACCCCCACACTGTGTGATACGTGTAGGTGGTATTTATCAGCAATTATAGCAGAACATAAAAAGAGTCTAGGGCTTGTATTTGGAAAAAAAACCTTTTACATTATGCCTATAATTATGAAAGTGGATTTCGTTTTCGAGACACATTGTTTTTAAATTTGGCAAAGTGTGTACACCATTAATATTAATATTGGGCATATTAAATATATCAAGTAAATCTACAAAACAATAATCCAGGGCACGAAACTCAGTCAATCAACTCAGCGTGTCAAGGTTCTAGTAATTGTTGTAGATTTAAAGACTCCTGTCTAGCTGTCATTTTTTATGAATTCAGAAAAAACAGCATGTAAATCGACAGAGACAGAAACGACAGTCTAATTCACGGCTGCCGTAGGTTTGGCTCTCCTTATTAGCCATGGCACCAATCCACAGAATACATTTTAGAGCAGCCTCATGATATTAACAAAACATGTAATAAAAATGCCGGTTGGCACCAAGTCTAAAGCTAAAGTTAATATCATATTTATAAACGTGATGTTTGTATCAGTGTTTGTGGATTATTGTCGCCAGATGCCACCTGCCCGCCTCCTGGAAAGAGTTAATATCAGTATATAAATATCATCCGCAGAATACCTTGGGGATTTTGTACCTACTGAGTGGGAGGCACTTCACTCCAAATTGATAAAGCTGGGTGTGTTTAACCTCACCAGCTGCCACACATTGTCTGCAGCAACTGAAAATATGCAAAAATATGCATACAGGTATCTGTTTGTCTACAAAAAAATATTTGGGTAAGCATTTATTTTTCGTGGAAAGAAATCGGGACTTAAATAATATATAAAAAAGTGTCACATGCTCCGAGTTGTGCAGTCTTTGGTTTTATGTTATGAAGAAGACATGTGAAGGTTAAATGACTGCACTGGAGTGTGAGCGTTTAACTGCCACGTTTGGATGGCAGCCAGGTGTTTTACATCGGACGTTACAGTGATCCTTCCCAGCATAATGTAATGTCAAGAGGGGAAATCAGGTGACTAGTGTGTGTGTGTAAGAGTGTGTGTGTCCCAGCAGTCAGCTAACAACAGTTTTCATAGGATCTGAGAAGGTAAAAACATCTGAAGCTTTTTCGCCAGCTGCAGGATCAGCCCATTTCATCCTACACGTGTTCAACACACAGCATGGCGTCGCCCGCATGCATACGAACACAATACACAGATCCCATGGTGCACAAATCCATTAGCAAACCACATTGGCAGGCTTTCACTTTCTATAACACTGCAGTCATGACGATGGATACGGATTGTCTCTGCAGGCTGTTCTTTCTACTCCGCATTATAAAGTGAAAAACAGGCCTCTGTTCTCTCACAGAGCCACAAATACTCAATAAAGTTTCTAGGACAAGACAATGCGAAGACTACAGCCAAGTGTTTCATTAGCGATACGGCTGTTTGTTTTTAGTGGTTTTAATCACTGGAAAGTAGAAAACATGTAATAGAAACAATGAGAGAGAATATCAAAGGGGCGCTCTGCACCCTCTGCCCTCTGCATGAACTTCTGACACCCACACAGCCTCCGAATGCCACTCTTCTTCTTTTCTGAAGCTGGAGAAGCATTGATGTGCGACAGAAAACTAGTCTCACCCTATCATCATCTATCCATATCACCCAGGCTTTAACCTCTCCTGCAAGCCTATCATTCTGGAAATAAAAAGCATCAGCAAACCTTGACATCTTGCATTGCATTCTGTCGCTTACAATGAAAACCATATCTCATACTTTTTTCCAACTCACATTTTTCTTTTGTTATGCTGCCTTTGAACCCAGTGGAACGCACTTTCACAGACTTTCGTCACTGCATCCACGTGCGTGTTCACCGCGGCCGGCTGGACGGTAAATAAAAGATGAACCTGTTCCAGAATTAAAACCCTCAAATGACTGCCCGTCGGTACAAGCTGATCCCAGACAGGCTCACGTCCTCATACCTACCTACCTTTTTTTTGTATTTATACTGACTGGCTGACAGGAAAAATAACAAAACAAACAAACAACAACAAAAAACTAGGTCACCAGCATCTTATGCAGTAATCCCGGTTCACTGCATCCAGACACGTGCGAGTGCTGTATGTTTTGTCGCCAGAGAGGTCATGATATCCTCTGACGGCTCCCTCCATTAACCCCTGTTGAGGACACGGCTTTCATTGAGTTTTTTTCCACTGAACGAGGGATTTAGGAGCCAGCTTTCACACAGCCGAGGGACGCAGTCAGGCACATCTGAACATCTGTGTGAGAGATGTCACTATGCTATGGAACAGAGCAGTGATTCATTGTGTCCCACACAGAGCAGTGGAAAGCGGTGGAAAGTAAGTAAGTACATTTACTCAAGTATTTTACTTTGAGGTACTTTACTTGAGTATTACCATGTTTGCTACTTTGTTCTTCTACCTCACTACAGAGGTAAATCATGTACTTGTACTACATTTATTTAGTACCTTTAGTTACTTGGCAGATTTGGATGAATAATTATACCTCACAAGCTACCTTACAGCATACAAAGCAGTTAAAATGAGCTCCATGGTTACCAGCTTTGATAACACTTTAATGCATCAATAATTATAATCAAAACATATAATATATATTATTCTGAAATGGGCCCATCTGCATAATGAGTACTTTTACTTTTGGTACTTTAAGCATATTTTGATGCTAATACTTTTGTACTTTTACTTGAGTAACATTTTGAATGCATGACTTTCACTTGTAACAGAGTATTCATACACTCTACTTTTACACAAGTACAAGATCTGAGTACTTCTCCTACCCCCGCATGATAACTAAGCGGTGAAATGGTGTAGAAGCCCAGAAGAGGGGATGCCAAATAAAACCCAGGACGAGCCATAAAGGTTACGTAAAGAATCAAGTCACCTATGAAAAGAACGGGCTGCTTTGTCTGGTGAGCGAGACGTGCAAATCTCAAATATCTGCGGTAGAGATGCCACTGTGCTATGGAACAGATCAGTGTTGAATTGATTCATTTTCTTTGTGCCACACACAGCGCGCCGTATGTTGCAGAAAATAAAGTGATAACTGAGCGGTGGAATAGTAAAGAAGCCCCCTACCAAGCAGAGGGGATGCCGGTATGAGCCAAGTACAGATGAACACTTCCTGCATGAAGAAACCCAGGACGAGCCAAATGTTGAGAAAGGTAACGTAAAGAATCAGGTCATCTATGAAAAGAATGGGCTGCTTCATCACTACAAAGCATTATGGTATGGTATCGTATCTGGTGAGCGAGATGTGCACATCTGAAACATCTGCATGAGAGATGCCACTATGCTATGGAACAGATCAGTGTTGAATGTTCTTTGTGCCACACACAGCACGCCGTAAGTTGCAGAAAATAAAGTGATAACGAAGCGGTGAAAGGGTGTAGAAGCCCTCCAACCCAGCAGAGGGGATGCCGGTATGAGAAACCCCGGGACAAGCCAAGAGTTGAGAAAGGTTACGTAAAGAATCAGGTCACCTATGAAAAGAAGGGGCTGCTTTGTCTGGTGAGCGAGACGTGCGATCAGACACAAGACAAGGGCTTCCCAGACAGGGAGCAGTGAATGGTGTCTCTGAAAAGCCGGGCCTTGTGTTTCGAGGTATGATCGCTGTCCCCTGTGTCGTGTGTCCTCGCACTGGCACTGGATCCACGGCACAGGGGGAGGAAACTCTTTTCAGGGGGGTACTGTTTTCATCTCCGCACACCGGGGGAGTCGTATTGGAGGCGAGGAGGGGGAGAACGTGGCAGATCTCTCAGACGTGCTTTTCCGAACACCCACGCTTAGCGGAGGGTCCTTGTTCGCCACGTCTCCGCCATTCAACTTTTCAAAAACAAGCGTTTCAAAACAAATGGGATTAGGCTAGGTTTTAAATTCTGATGGGATTTATACGCTCCGCCTCGTTTAATAGCAGCTTTAAGATTTACAGGAGGGGCCTCCCTTATGCGCTCTTACACTCGTCATTTCCATAACAATATTATATTTACATCTCATTAATATTTAATTATATTCTTTATACTTTTACATGGCAAACAGATGAGTGCGCTGCTCCCATCTCAGCGAAAAACCAATTGAAAGAAAGCAGCGTGTATTCCCTTTCATCACCTCATAAACTGCTGCAGTAATTACAATATTACAACAGGAGAAACACGCTCAATGTGCGGAGAGCTGCTACCAGCGGAAAGGCAGGCGAGGCGGCAAAGTGGTTTGCTAAACATTACAATTTAATTCAAAACAGCCCACTGATTCAGACACTCCCAGATTGTTGGGTCACCTACAGTTGACATTAACAAACAGAGATTGGTGTTTTGTTGTGCCACCTGTCACATGAATGAGAATGCGGAGGCTGGAGGAGGAAGAAGGACAAAGGAAGACAAAACTCATACATTTGGGAGTGAAGTGAGAGGATGACTGATGGTGATGACAGGCTCTGCTGTTTCAATATTCCTCCCCGCTGACACCTCGTACACACACACACACACACACACACACACACACACACACACACACACACACACCACACACACCCACACACACACACACACACACACACACACACCACACACACACACACACACACACACACACACACACACACACACACACACACACACACACACACACACCACACACACACACACCCCCTCCTCACCTCCGCAACATTTAGCACCTGCACCGTGCTGAAAATCTTCCTCTTTGAAATGAATAACTGGCAAGGAGTCTCTTGATGTCGCAGAAGAGCTAAAAAAGAAAAGAAAAAAAGAAGCGGCATAAAATCGTAGTATTAGTTTTGCGTGTAATTTGTTTTGACAGTGATCTGCCGCTGTCTTGAGTTTCCAAAAATATCTGCCAAAAAATGACCTGCCTAGGGGTTTGGGCATAGAGGGGGGAACTCCTGATGGATACATTTGAATGATCAAAAAATAATCTGTTTAGCAGGGACATTTTCTAGCAAATGTCCATTAAATAGATTAACGTCATGTGGGTGGATCAGCTGGACACCCAAATATAAGCCAGTGACAGAGAGCAATTACTGTCCTCCTCAGTGAAGAGATTGGGAACAATGGCGCCTCATTTATAAGGGGGAAACGTGATCCAGCGTGACTGTAAGAATTGTGATTGTTCTGTTTTTTCCTGGGTGTCTCCTGTGTCCATCACGCCGACACAGTGGAGTAGTGTGAGCTTTTATTTTATTTTATTGACAGTAAAGATGGACAGGTTTCAATTATGGGGACATCTCTGTATGTGAATGGCACTGTACGCTTGCCAGAATAAATGAGTGTCAGGCTCTAGTGTTACGTGTGCTGAAAAACAATTCAGACTCATCAGCCTCCTTAGCACGAGGCTCGTACACACACACACACACCGGCGTCTTCAATGTCCAGCTGAAGACACGCCGTTACTTCAGTGTGTTTCCTCCGTCTCCCCGGCGGACTCTTTTTTTTCTTTCTCCATGGGTGTGTTTGTGTCTTATTAGTGTCTGAATGCCTGAGATGCAGGTGTTGTCAGCCACACACACACACACACACACACACACACACTCCCCCCCTTACCTCCATGACTGCAGCCCCGTCCACTGGGAGACCGGTCGGTGGTGCCACTCATGTGTTAACATTGCCATGGCAACCCCTCTCTTCCCCTTGCCCACCACGCCACACACACACAACCGAATCACGCCCATACCCACGACCTCGACACACACACAACCGAATCACGCCCATACCCACGACCTACACACACACACACACACACACACACACACACACACACACACACACACACACACACACACACACACACACACACACACACACACACACACACACACACACACACACACACACACACACACACACACACACACACACACACACACACACACACACACACACACACACACCACACACACACACACACAGTGAATTCCCTGGACTGCATCCGGTGCAGGCCAAACTTAATCCACATGCTGCCATCCCTCAGAAGTCTATTCATGGGTCTCTTTCGGATAACTTCGGGTGAGGTCCGCAACAACAACTTGGCTTTTTCTTCTTTCTCAATCAGCTCCGCCTTTCTCGTGTTCACGACGGAGGTTGATGAAAGAAATATCGCGGGCGTACAGATGACCTCCTGTCACACTGTTTCTGTCTCAGTAAATCAGCGCAGAGGCCTGCAGACGGAGGCGCTTTCACTACATTCACTCTGTCTGATCCTCTTTTTTAGCCAAGTCCTGTTTTGTGTTAGGGCGAACGCTAACTGATGAAATCTTACATTGTTTTATCTGTGGCCCAGATGAATGACAGACAAATAAACCATGGTTCGCACAGAACGAAAGAATAAAATCTGAGTCATGCATCCGTTTAAATCACTTTTGATGAATAACTTCTTCAGTTCTGTAGCCAAGACTACAGGCATTCATTTGGCAACTTAAGGAGAAAAGGAAGAAAGATGGCGGCGCACCGCACATTGTACTGTCCATCCTAAAATGGCTGACATCACAGCCTCCTATAACTGCCAAAGACTGGCAAATGCCAGCTCCTGCTGACCAAACCTTTCTTGCATGGGACAGAGAAAGTGGCAGGGGCTCTTTCCCCGCTAGCCCCAAGGTTCCCCCCCCCCCCCCCCCCCCCCCCTCACGGTGCTCAAGCGTTTCTTTTGCTTGGAACTGTGCAAACATGCTGTTTTAGTGAGGCTTTGAGCGGTCTGGGCTTCGATACGGCATTGGTCCGGTGACAAAAGCAATACCAAAAGGGATGAAAGACCCACATAAAACTGAACCTGTATAGAACGCCGTCCTTTCTGTAGGAGAAAAATAGGACTCTGCATTTTCTGTGAGGATCATGAGGTATGCCGCGGTCTTGAATGCTTGTTTGTGTTAAACAAGAGCGATTTGGAAAATAGATCTGGTTGGTGTTAGATTAGATTTTCTTCTCCTCTGAACTCAAGGAATGTTTTACACTCCATGTCAAGTAATTCTGCAAATCATGACCATATGACCTTCCTCTGTATGCTCTGGCAAGGGATTCACTTTGAGCTGTGGGAGGCACACAGAAACACAACATCCACAGTGTTTTTGGAAGTAAGAACACCAAATCCTGAAGAGTACAGTGTTCCAGGTATACGAGGGGCGGCATGTGCCGAGACGCTGTTCTCGCTGAGGGGAGCAGTGGGCAGTCTTGGCCCGCTACATTGTGTCTGTGTATACAAACACTGCGCTGTGGCCATAACGAAAACTGTGAGCTGTGCCTAATTGCAGGGAGAGACGGATGAAAGGCAATATGCCTGGCCTCATTAGAGCAGTTCCGAGAAGGGAGATGGAAGACTGTTCCCAGGGATCCACAAAGGGAATTGACATTCCCCCAGAGTAAGCGTCCTGCCGGAGTGAAATCCTCCACACACTCTCAACTCACCGGGCCCAGAACCCGATCTGCCCGGATCTGCACAGCAAGAGCTCATTTACCTTTGTATCACACACAACTTTCGGAGAGCAGAAATGTCCCCTGGACTCTACACACACTTTGGAGTCACTCCCCACAGACCGAACACCCACTCTCTCAGGAAAACCTCAAAATGTTACGCAGTCATTTCCATGACCTACATTATATATAAAACAAGCTTTAATGGATAAATAATTAAAAAACATTCCAAAAATTGCCCATGATTCATGCCTGTCTAGCTTGTATAATCTGGGGTTGTTTCTTGTGTTATGGACAGTGCACTCACAGATCCGCAGGCAACATTAGTCAGCACAGAGGTCCTACCGCTGAGGGCAGAGGGAGACACATGGCATTCAAAGCTGGCACAATATTACGTACGGGTAGAAAATGTGACCATACTGAGCTGATATTTTAAATACGATGCCTCAAGGATAATCCACAGTTTGCAAAATATCTCCTGAAATCAGCAGCTTTACTGTTCTGTATGTTTATGTGTGTGTGTGTGTGTGTGTGTGTGTGTGTGTGTGCGTGTGTACGTGTGTGTACGTGTGTTAGTAGGGCAGCAGCACATGTTGGCAGGAGGAAGAGGAGGAAATGAAAGAAAAAGAGTCCTGTGCATAGAGATACAGGCCTACCTTTTCTGCTCAGGCAAGAGGAAGAAATGTGTAGATAGAGTGAGAGCGATCAATAGATGGAAATTGATACTTGGCGTGCAGTTTTGAACATCTATGGACTCTTAAATCAGTCGTACCGCCCGCTATAGCACTGCTTTTGGAAGTCTTTCACAACTAAATAAGCACTCACACTCACACAGCCTAGTGGGGGAAATACAGAGCGTTGTGCAATAAAATAAGCAGATACGCCACATTGTATAGCGCAAGGAGGAGCGCACATTCAGCCAGACGGAGGCTCGGTTTGTTGTAACTGTAACAAACTGACGAGTTAACCCGTTTCTCTCCATTCACAAGGCTGTGGGGCAACACACCGCCTCGGAGTGTACTTGCCAAAGGCGATCTGGCACTCTATATAACCTTATGAATATTCCCAAAAAAACCTCCACCCCCCTCCTCCACCTACTGTCGCCATTTTATACATTGGCGACTTCATATAAACTGCCTTGACTACACAGCACCAGATGAAAATTCAATATTCAATAGCGAGGCTTAATTTCAGTAAACAACTTTTAGAGAACGCGCCCTCGCCAACACAGAGAGGTATTATTTTTGGGAAGAGTAGATCCTTACCTCAACAGTCGGTGGGAAAAAATTGAATCCGACATGAATATATAAATGAATAATATTGGATTAGCTCCGATCGTTGCGTTTGGAGAAGAAGAGGAGGCGAGCAGGGGGTGGGAGCTCTCCTCAAGTGAACCCGGTGAACTGGCGTGAACCCGTCAGTGACCACGGCAAGGTACATTACATTATATTACCTTTCCACCCTTCAGCCACACTGTATGGAGACGGCAAAACAACTACGGTCGGCGGCGCAGGACGAGGCAGCTCCAAAAAATTTATAGCGAGTGTATTTCCTATGGACACGTGATCGGAGCGTCATCCAAAATCCAAAAGCCCTTTCATCTAAAATGTTGGAGAGGGGCGGGGATGAGATGGAGATGTGTGTGCGGGCGTGTGTGTAGAAGGGGAGGAGGGGGGGTACGTATACTGAGCCCCGTGCACATTTGGGTATGTCGTTATAGGGGTAAGGCAGAGCTCTAGCTGCAGATTGGGTTATACATAGCTACAATGGCGCCGCGGAGCAGGCAGAGCAGATGTAATGTATTGTGTACATTTGGAATTGACAGGAGTTTCGTGATCGGCCGTTTCAGTGAGCTTCATCATCCAAAAGCTCCTTTTAATTAGGTCACATGTTGTTGTTTTTTCAAAATACTGCTGACGTTTTGATAAAAGAAAAAAACACTTGATAGGCTACTCCGAATATTAATCGGTGTGGGAATTGCCATTTAAAGCACAGGACTATTAGCCCAAAGGCTTTAAATAGACTTTTACGCACACGCGTAAAAGTGGTAGATTACGCAGGTGCACAGTAAATGAAACCTAGTGGTTCATATCCACTATCGTAGTTGAATATGAGAAGACTATCTTTCCTCGAAATCAAATGACCAATGTTAGTTATGTCTCGTTTTGAAGAATAGGGGCTACTCGGCTGTGACCCTCGTGACCTTGTTGGCCTTCTGTGCGTAAAAGCGCGGACGGGGAAAGCGCAGAGACCCTAAACCAGTTTGCAGTAAGGGTCTAATGAAACATTTAATTAAAGGTGGTAAAATATTTTTAAAACATATGGAGAAAACATATCAACAAGTCATTACAAAAAGAGAAGTGGACTAGTGCAGCAATAGTACACAAAAAGTATAAGTATAAGTGTGATACTTAAAAGTAGAGTAGGCTACTACAGGTTTTTGTAGAGAAGCCTATTAGAGATATCATTGTAATATTATGGATATATAAATATGTGTATATGTGTACACTTGGCTACCTGTATGTGTAACAGGTAGCGGGACTACACAGTAAGAGGCCTACAGCAATTACCACATCCTTAATGCCTTATGTAAATATGGACTTATAGGGCTACTACTACAGGCCTCCATTATTAAGGAAACGCGGATTTGCTCTTCCCTCCCAGTTTGTCCTGACTGGGTTCAGACGTTGCCTGTAGCTGTGTACAGTCAGGACAAACAAAGATTTCTAACAAGAAGATGGATCACTCTATGGTAAAAAAACAAAGTGAGATGTGCAGTATGCATTAACTGGTATCGTACTAGTAGGAATAAAATAAGCGTTGCTAAAATATAAGATTTACTTAATACAGTTATACATTTGTGGCACATATATGCTTGTACTATAGAGTTATGGAAAGGATACCAGTAGTCATGGCTCAATACGATATATATTTGTACTTATTAGCACACAGTTTCCGTATTATATTGTGTACTTTGGGGGAGTGTGTGCGTTCCTTTTCTTTGGCACTATCTCCTGTATTGCAGGCTTCTGTCCCCGTAGGCTTATGCACAGCAGGACATTATCCTTTTTGAATACTGATTAGAGGTTGCCAAGATGGAATGCTTTCCTCTTGATTATCTTCTAATTGTAAAAAATAACATGCTGGTTTGTTTAGGATTTAAGGTGTATAATCATTTTCTACATTTGAATTTTCTGGAAGACCATTTTCTGGAATTCTATTTAGCTGTTCGGGTTTAGATGAAGGCGAGGCTGTTTGCAAATCATAGACCATTTGTATTGTAGTTTGTAGTCAATTCAAGTTCATGCACAGCATCCACCACAAGTAGATACTGTTGCTATGGTTACCCAGTGTGTGCACCTTACTCACTGGTTTACAAAGGAAGTATGTCATCTTAACGTGCACTTTCTCTGACCTTGACATAGCTGAATATTCAAAAGAAAACTCTGTAAAGATGTATTGACTTTGAGTGCTGCTCTGTTCCCACTTTCAGTTTGCCCTTAAAGCTTTATTACATTTTTGTATTTGGTTATGTTAACATTTGTATTATGCTTGAGGGAGCCTCTGATATTTTAGTTTCTATCGACTGCTTCTCTGTTCTTGGTGTGCTTTTGATAATAAAAATCATCCTTACTATGATAGATGACAGCCAAGTGAGCAGATGGGAAATCTACTTTCTATGTGTCTAATTTCGTCTAAAGTGAAAGAGAAACCATGTTTTATATATTTTTAAGTGTAGGAATACTCTGTTACACGTACAGTCCTGCATTAAAATGTTACTCAAGTAAAAGTACAAAAGTATTAGCATCAAAATATACTTAAAGTACCAAAAGTACTTATTCTGCAGATTGGCCCATTTCAGAATAATATATATGATATGTCTTGATTATAATGTTTTGATGCATTAAAGTGTTATCACGCAGCTAGTTTTATTTACTGCAGGGTAGCTTGTGAATTGACTCCAGGTGTAACTTAAGTCTGATTTAAGTGTTGATTATATTTGACATCATTAATTAAAATCTGTAAAGTAACTAAAGGTATTGAATAAATGTTATTGATTGAAAGTACACGATATACCTCTGAATTGTAGTCGGTATAAGTACAAAGTAGTAAATACAAAGTCTCTCAAAATTGAACTTAAGTACACTACTTGAGTAAATCTACTTAGTTGCTTTACACCACTGATATTTAAGTGAACGAGAAACCATTGGCAGAAAGTGGGTGTTTTTAAATGTTCTTTTTTGTTTGTTTTAAACTGAGAATAGAGGATCCTGGTCCCAAGGAATCACAGAGTTCATGGTGCCCGGATAAAGCGTCAGAGTGAAGCCTCCCTGCTCCCAGCTGCTATGTGCTCTGTAACCGGATCAGGGCAGAGAGAGGGCCGGACCGGAGGATTGTTTGCCTCCAAACGAGCCAATGAGACCGGCTTTACATTAGACTGACAGCCCGCCTCATCGAGCCGGGAGACGCCAATCTGGTCTGACAACTTTCAGACAGCCAATACGAAGAGGAACGGAGGGAAAAAATCCAAATACGAATCTGGCTTCCTGTAAGGTCGAAAACGTTACCTGTCACCTCACCTGAGCGTTTGGAGGAGAAAGGGGAACAAATCGTGGCGATGTCGCAGTGCCTTGAAGACTCACCTCTCCGGTTAGGGACCAAACTCACCGGGGGAGACGAGCTGAAGCTGCAGGAGCTGTACAACGAGAGGCACCGGCTGGCTCTGGAGGAGCTGCTGTCGGGAGGAATAGACAACTTTCTGGAGTTCCTCAGGAAAGAGAGGATCCCCAACTTTCTGTCGGACGATGAGATGCAGCGGATCCGCAGCGCTGCTGTTCCTCCTCCGCGGTGTGTGTCCTTCCTCGGGGAGGAGCAGGGCCCGGAGCTCAGCAGCTCGCTGGACTGCTCCTCCGTCACGTATTTCCCCGAGGTGTCGGACGTGGAGCCGCCGGTGCTGGAGCTCGGCTGGCCGGGCTTCACCGCAGGCTCGTACCGGGGAGTGACGCGGGCCGTGGCGCACTTCCAGCCGAGCTACGGGGAGAGCATCTACAGCTGCAAGGAGGCTGCCAGGCGGATGATCCAGAGTGCCAGAGAGGTATGCACAAACACCTATTAAAACCACAGCTGCAGCTTTAAAAAAAATCGAACTACCACGTTTAAAAAATCTTAATTTCCTTTAGAAATATCTGAAGGAACATGCTGTGCAATATGTAGTTATAGTCATTTTGTACTTTCTACTCCCCCATATTTTTACAATTACTTTTCCAAATAGTTCCTGATAGTATTTATTAGGCCTGATTGCTACAGTAATGGCAGCATGGTCTGTGGTATCATCCTAAAACTGGGTTATTGTTTTAATATTTGTCAAATTCAAACATCAAATGCCCCCCTGTCACAAAACGAGTGAGTGTATTGTCAATTATTACACTTTTTTGGAGGGAAAATCTAGTTTCTGTATCTTCATTGTGTTGGAAAAGTGCCAGAGAGGTTTGTAAAAACCGTATTAAAAGCACAGCTGCCCCCTTTAAAAAATACTCTCGATTTGGCAACTGATTATATTATTTCCTTTAGAAATGTCCTGCAGGGACATGAGGGAACATGGTGTGCTATATCCAGTTTTAGTAATTTTTGTATTTTCTACTCATCCATATTTATAATAATAACATTACAATAGTTCCTAATGGTATTTATTAGGCTTAATTGCTTTTTGGTATCATCCTAAAACAGGGTTATTTTTTAAAATATGTGTCAAATTCAAGTATAAAACGCTGTCACAAAATCAGTGAGTGTATATAGTCACTTATTGAACTTGTTTTGGAGGGAAAATCAAGTTTCTACATCTTCTTTGTGTCATCCTTAAAATACATGCCAGATTGTCCCTACGGAGTTCCCTTGATCAGTGAGTAGATTTGGAAGGTTTTTGATGTGTTGATCAGACAGAAAGTAATGGCCAAAAGGATCTAATGAACACAAAAAACTGGCCATGAATATTCATGGTGACGCTTCCTGATGTGAGCTGTCAGTCCGGCATGTTTTTTTTTTTTAAAGAAACATTCCTTTATGGAGGGAGTGTGTGCAGCACCTCGGGCCTGTGGAGGGCCTGCGAGCCAGATGTGCCTCGACTTGCTGTGCTCCCTTCTATCAAAGTTTGCATTCCCTCTTCATTAAGAGCAATTAAAATGCTGGTTTACCTCTCTGGGTTGTGGCTGAAAGGATGGTGTGCTGGCAGACAATTGAAACCAGGGCTGCAGCTAGAGAATACTTTCATTGTAGAGAAATTGGACGATTATTTTCACAAATATTCCATTGGTTTGGATTATAAAATGTCAGAAAAAGGGGAAAATGTAAGTTTTCCAAAGCCCAAGTTGACCTCCTAAAATGTATTTCTGTCACCCACAACTCTTACGTCTACGAAGTCATAGAGGAGTAAAGAGACTGGAAAATATTCACATTTGAGAAGCTAGAATCAGATTTGATTTTTTTTTAAACATGTACTCAAACAGATTACATGATGATCAGAAAGGTTGGCAATTAAAATGAATAGTTGACAACTAATCGATTTACCTTTGCAGCTCAAGTTGAAACCTTAATGCAAATATTCTCGTCCAGGTTTACGGTTGTCTGTCCTTTTGTAATGTCAAACCGCTCACGGCACACACAGGATTTGTTATACGAGGCAGCTGACGAGCAACAGCCTGCTCCTGTATTCCACAAAAATGTGACTATGTTTTTTACACATTTCCCTAAAAATAAGCAGGGAACTCCTGACTAAGCTGCATGTGGAGAACACACCGTTTAACTAAATAAATCTGAGCTATCTAAACATCCATGTCTAATCCTCGACACGTCACACAACCTTTACCACAGCGTGTGAAATTCCTCTCGTCCTTGCTAAAAAACCAGATAAATCTCCATTTGAACCTGAGCTTGTGGAGAACAGAGGCTCGTCTCCTGCATGAAAGTATAACTTGTTTGCTGACCAAGCGTTACCGCCAATCACCATGGTAACAGACCACAGTCAATAGAAAGCTCATCAGCACAAACATTAGGTGACAGATTCACGGCTCTGTTTGAATAAGGCCTTGATCATTTGATAATAATAAAACACAGTCATGTGCTGAGTGCGGCGCTGCTGCAGCTCCTAAAAGGAATTCTATTATATTACCTCTGTAATTTTCCACTGCAGGTGATTGCCATAGTTACAGACTCCCTGACAGACCTGGATATCTTTAAGGATCTTCAGGAGGCTTGCACCCTACGCAAAGTCCCCGTCTACATCCTGCTCGACCAATCGTGTGCTCCGGCTTTCCTCAAGATGTGCAGAAATGTCAACGTTCGCCTGGACGACCTTCGGGTATGTGGTTGGTTCAGTTGAGCTGGGTGTGGCTCTGTGTGCACAATAATAACATCAAGATGGCATCAGATTAAAATGTGCCCTGTAATGGACGAGCCCTGACGTCCTCTTCAGATGGCTTTAAAAAAATCCACCCAAAATGAAATGGGTGAAGCAGCTTTTTATTACATACGCTCCCCAACTGTGTTACACCCTACCAGCAAACATCAGAGGCAGAATCTTTCTGCTCTTTACCTTTCTGTTTCTATTTATTTATTTTAGTTTTATTAGCGATATCCCCTTTTAAATTGGTATCTTATTCACATTTTTGTATTCTTATTTTTTTAATTATTTATTTATTTATTTTATAGGTCTTTATAAATAATAAGAATAATCTTTATTGTTATTTATTACAGAGAAGGATCATTATTTCTTTTATTATCTCTCGTTGTGTCCCTTGAATTGTTATAATATGCTTTTTATGTGTGCATGAGGTTTAAGCGTTGGACCTGCAGTTCTTCTCTTTTTTAATTTGTGATGCCATGTTGTTAAAGCACTTTGAGCTGCAACTAGTTTAAAAAAAATACTATACAAATAAATCTTCAATATTTGATATGTCTGGTCGTGTCTGCACTAATTTCTCCCTTTGCTCTTCCTCTTTTTCCCCTTTATAATCCGTTCAGCAAATGAAAGTGCGAACCATAACTGGTACAACTTATTACATGAGATCAGGAGCCAGGATTACCGGGGAGGTTCACGAGAGGTTCATGCTGATTGACGGCAACAGAGTGGCGACAGGCTCCTACAGGTAACGCCTGCTAAGCATTTTATCTGAAGGCAAATGCTTAAGCTGTGTATTATGCAGCGAGGATATGCCTAAAACCTCCACATCTAATAGAGTAATGTAATACAATTTTTCTGTGAAACTTTCTATGACACCCCAGACTATTTTGTATTTTAAACATACTTATGATGCATTATAATCTGCTTATCGAGCTGTTTAATACAAATCTGAAATGAGCGTTAAGGAATGTTCATAATACTTATTATTATGGATTCATTTTTAAAGTCAGCTTTCATGCAAACACGTCTACAGACTAGAAATATGGAGATATCATGCTTTTCTGTTCTTCTATATCAGTGTGTTTTTATATATTTGTGAATGTATAAAAAAACGGGAACGCAAACGAACCGAATTCAATATCAAAAAAGTTTTCCGTCCACACGGCATCAGCTCAAGAAACTTGTCCGTTCACACGAGACCGCTGGAGACGCTGTAGTACATATGCCGGGCCTGTAAGTGGCGCTGTACTTCCGCCACAAAATACACCAAAAGCAGCGAAGAAGATATTATGATAATTGACCTAAAAAGTCATGATAAAAGCTTTGTAATGTGTTATAACTGCTGTATTGCATTATGAATATTTAAAGGTGGTTTAACTATAATTATACACGGCTATAAGCAGAGTAACACAGGGTTCCTCAGCTGTCTTTAAACAAAGGGCATTAGATTTAGTACAAAAATGTCTTGAATCAATATTCGGTTCCAGAAAGATTACAATTTTGTATTTATGTATTTCGTTTAGTTTTTATTTGAAATATTTATAATTAATAATAATAATTGTAAAAATAAACTCTTATCTAAAAGCCTTGAATTAGCATTATGCAAATCGGATTGGATAAATCGCATAAACAATTTATTCCAAATGTTATAACTTATTGGCTATAAAGGAAGCCTTTTTAAAATGCATTATAAGTTTGTTTATATGAGCCTACTGGAAAGCTTAACCAATTTTTGGTTGATTATTTTGTGTACTTCTGTAATGCATACATGTTTTTAAATCCCGCTCTTGTGCAGGTACAACTGGACCGACGGCAAACTGAACAGCAGCAACCTGATCGAGCTCTCTGGCCAGGTCACAGAGAAATTTGACGAGGAGTTTCGGATCCTGTACGCTCAGTCTCAACCTGTGAACACTCGAGGACCTCCGAGTGTCCGGAACAGCGGCATCTTCGAGCATCTCCTCATCAAAAACCTGGGGGCCTCCTCCCCTCACCTGGCCAGAGAGAGGCCTCTAGAGTCAGCGCGTCTCACCAGCACACCGAGCCGCAGAGCCTTAAATCTCTCTGTCCAGCCCCCGTGTGAAGCCTCGACTCCAGATAACCACAAAAGCAACCCGGTGTCCAACACCTCCACTTTAGATGAGGACTGTACGGAGGGGCCGCACATGCAGGAGGAGATCCTGGCAGGAAGCACAACTCAGCGTTTATCCACAGATCAGCTGACAGAGAAAGAGCCAGCGAGCTCCATCACCTGCCACGCCTCCACTCAGACCGGCCTGTCAGTGACGGACAGCGACACGCAGACTGACCAACAGATCACGCCTCAAACCCAGGCCGCCTCTCTTTCCTCTCCCAGGCAGAGCTCAGCTGCAGACGGCTCCTTAAAGCACTGCTTCAACCAGCTGAAGGAGGAGCGCCAGCACCAGTACTCCAACATCCGCTGCAAGCTGGAGCACATGGTGACCGCCCTGTCCCAGAGGCGCGAGCTGGCGGACGTCACCAACATGACTCAGGGGCCTGGAGCTCACAGCCAGCAGAGGGAACACAAAGACAGCGAGCAGGAACCAAACCCCAGACTGCTTGGTGAAAGTGCGGGCATGGGCACGTGGCCAAGAGCCAGATGTGTGCACTAGTTTGTCCTCGGGGATGTCAGAAGGAGGGTGGTGGGGGAAGAGCTGTGCCAAGGTTTCTGGAGGAATCTCTGTTTTAAATAAAGGGTTCTGGTTTATGCAGTAGATTATTTTGTTCTTAAAGGACTTTATTGTCATACGCACTGCTACAGTGTAGATATGCAAGCAAAGGCTCCTCCAACAATAAAACATGAATATATAGAAGACAAAAAACTAATCCAAATAAAATAGTGCAAGAGAATATTGCAAGACTAGTTTGCAAGTAATGCAGGAGAAGTTAACTAAATGCAACTAAAATAGAATAAGATAAGCTAAAAATAGAATGTAAAATGAATGCTGTATAGTCTGCTTTGCTCACTTTTGTCCTTTTCATTTCGTGTCCTTTCCACGTCTAAAGCTTTATTTGTGTAACGCAGAACTGTAACCAAAGACACAGTGCAATAATACTCTTTTTAAAACATCTCAGTTTAATTCAAAATCATTCACACAGGCGATTAACACTGCATAATATCTGCTGTAGTTTGAGTGAAAAGTGCTGTTTTGGTTGTTTAATCACAGTTGGCTGCTGTTTCTGCTTCTGAACAACATTCCTGGGAGCTGCTGGCTCTCGCTGCGCTTTGCTAATAAACAAAGTAGTGTTTTGCTAGATGAGTGTTTATTGTCTTTTCTAACATTTCCTACTTATCCACCAGTTTAAGCTGCAATTAAATCATTGTGAGGACTATCTCACAGCGAAATGTGTTTAGAAGTTGGAGCACAGTGACAGAGCACCTGTGCTTTATGCACTGCAGTGCCTTCATGCAATTAGCTGAGAGAAGACATCTGTGATACTGGCACCTCTGCTGATGATTCAGCCAATCACTGTTCCTGTCCAGGGTGGGCTTGGAGAAGAGTCTCCATGACAGATTACAAACAAGAGATTAGGATGAATGCTAAGTAAACGCTTCTTTACACACAATAAAACCACTGATTACATGCTGTTGTATTAGGTGCTTTTATTGTTTTACATTCAACACAGATTCTTGTCAATTAGGGCTGCACGATTAATTGAAACCGCAATATGGAGTAAGTGCCAGAGTTGCTAGGAGACAGAATATCTGAAAATATTATATTATCATATTTTAGTATATTCTGATTACGTGTTAAAGGTAGGGTAGGTAACAATGGAGAAACCAGCTCGAGTGCGCTAGAATTTGAAAGTACACAACCGAAAAAGATTCCCTTCCTTCAGTCTTCCTTACAGAGCCCCTCCTCCAACACACACGAACGCGCACATGACCAATAAGTTTGTGCACAGATGGAAGGCTGACAGGCAGGTAGGCCATCCAGTTATTTTAGCCGGGCCGGCTCAGATGATTGGTCGTGCTTTTTACAGTACTACGGCTTCCACAGATGACATTTTTATTTATTTTATTTATATATTTATTGTCAAAGCATTTAATTTATTCATTGCTATCGGGATGTTAAGAGCATTCCATGGAATATAACAAAAAGTGTTTCTGAAGTGAATTACCTACCCCACCTTTAAGTTCAGAAAACAAGAGAAATCAACTATGATCAATAATGTTTCAAAAATGATAATTAACTCTAATACAGCTATTGCAATTTCAGTTAAAATAAACACAATTAGTTATTTTTTCCAAATTGTGCAGCACTATTATCAATGTATATATTTGGAAACTGTGATTTTAGATGGCTACATAGCTATTTTGAATGAAGCAAGTGATTTGGAGAGCATGCAAAGCTGTATATTATTAATAATCTACTTGAGGTGATTCTGTTTCCTGGTTCTACAGGTGCACTATGTGCCGCTGAGCCTGGCACAAGCTGTGTTTACGTCTTCATATCTCACTCTGAAGCACAAAGGTCCTACTGTAGATGGTGAAAACACGTCGTCGCTCTGGTGGGACGTGTGCTCTGAATGACTCGAGTTATAAATGTCACTCCAAGCTTTATTGTGACTAATGTTTAACTGTATCGAGGAGATTAAGGTGTAACTTATATCAAGATGTACAGGTAGCTTTATTAGCAGAGCAGAGACCTGTGTGTGGTTCCAGTATGTGACGCAGAGCAGGGATCCAAAGGTGAATGAAAGATGGTGGTTGAAGTTGGTCGACTGTAAAACGTGATCCTTTGATTATCTTATTCTTCGAGATGAAAAGTTACTTATTAGTAAATGTATTTTTGCAGTCCAGTAGTTTTAAACTAAGCCTACCACACTTTTACCCACATTTCAAAGTATCACAGATAATGAATGATAAACTGCCTAAAACACAATATAAATGTATTTTTTGAAATGTTGATACGTAATTACATTACATGTTACTTGTTAGACGCTTTTATCCAAAGCGACTTACATACTCAATACTGTGGGCAATACCCACAGGAGCAATTTGGGGTGAAGTGTCTTGCCCAGGGACACAACGACATGCTGACTGCAGTGGGGTTTGAACCTGTGACCCCCTGATCCGAACACCAACGCACTAGCTCACTGCACCACACGCCTCCCAGACTACATAGACTATATACTTCATATTACACAAACAATTCAAAAGTAGTATGTTGTATATGAGTACTTTTACTTAGGTTTACATCTCAGAATCAAGTCGGCCATTGTTGTTTTGATTGTTTAGTGAAACAAGTGCTTTTTGTGGTTGCTAGGACTGGTTGAAAGAAACATATTACATTACTTAATGACCTGTAGTTAAGTCACATTTGAGGTGTTGTTCTTTGTATATACAGTCTATGGTTTGTACTTGGAAGTCAATTCATGACAGCTTCTGGCAGACAACACCAATTTGAATACAAGTTTTAAAATAGTTTGAAAAATGTGGAATAATGTAAGTTCACAACTCAACAAAATATATAACATCTAGTTGTTTTTAGACATGTATACTTCATTATTCTGACAACTATTTATTATAGTTTCTTAGACACAAGGGGCTACAACACATCTGTCTATCGCACATTTGATTGATTTATCAGTTTGAAGGAATAGTAAAATCACACATTTTATTGTGGCTAATAATCCTTATCAGAGTAACCTTTATTCGTCCCACAGAGGGGACATTTACATTTGTTATAGCAAGTAAAGATAGCTTGATTATTCATTAAGAAGCATGCATACAAATGTTTAAAAATAAAAGTACAATATTTATAAAATACACATCGAGTACCAGTTTTGAGAAATAGCAGCCAGGTGAAAGTATTAAAGGTGGAAGTATACAGTGTATTGCACAGGCTATAGAGATGGCACACTAATGGACTCAATAGTTGTATTTCACCTGTATTGGTGTTACTATGCTGATAGTCTGTTGAATAACTCTGTGAAGTGTATTCATGTAATCATGTTTATAGCACATACATCTGTTTACAGTCCACATATTTATATATTATTACAATAAGTAGTACTGTATTCCCCTGTACAGTATTTCATTTTACATTCAGTTTTATCTTATGCTATTTAACATGTTCTCAGTTTACAGAATCCTGCATTTGACTTGCACCACTGTGTCTCTTGCACTGTTTTATTGCACTAGTTTACTTCCTTATTTCTGTTTATGTGTTAGAGCACATGTGTCAAACTCAAGGCCCGGGGGCCAAATCAGGCCCGTGGTGGATTTAATTTCGGCCCGCAGGATAATTTCTAATTACTATTAGATCTGGCCCGCCGGTATATTGCACGCACACCTTCACTCAATCCTGAGGGTTTCCTCAGCTCAGAGCCTGAGCCCAAACATTGATGAACTTGCACCCAAGATGAGATGCCAAGTATCTGGCTTGAACTAGCATCACAGAGCAGCACACTGAGTTTAAATGGATGTTTCCTTCTGCACTTTTTTTCTTGCGACAACAGGGCATGTTTGTTTTTTTCTTTGAGGGGAACTGTTTTTTTTAAGCTGTTGTTGGCCTGTGGAAAAATGTAATCATAAGAAATGACTCGGGAAAAGCTGCAGATAGAGCCATAAGAAATTAATACAACTGATTATTTAATGTTGTTTTTATAGGCAATAATTTAAGCTTTGTTAGTTCCAGGTTTAATATGTGCAATAAGTTCATTTCAATAAGTTTTGCAATAAACATTGAACCAGTCCGGCCCTCGACTAGTACCGATTTTTTTATTTTGGCCCACTGTGTATTTGAGTTTGACACCCCTGTGTTAGGTATATTGTACGTCACACTGTTGGAGGAGCCTGGGATTTAACATTGCCAACAACTGCTGCATATGAAATTGAAGCCTTTACTTTGAATATAACCTCTGGTTTGTTTTAAAGAGAAATGTACTAAATGCTCATAATGAACCATGATTGTAACCACTAACTATATTAAAATAATTGCAGTTAACCACAGCTTTAACAAACACCAGTGTTATCAATGTTTTTCATTTACAAGATGCCGCATTGTTACCATGCAGACTTAACATGGCCTGGAGTTTTAACTGCTACTGTACACGGCAATAAGGTGCGAGCAGCAGGCCGCCCTCCTGCGGTGCAAACACATCACCAGCCTCTGCATTCATTATGTGAAATGGTGCAACTAAAGGGAATTGATCCACAAGTAAATACAATGGTGGTGAAATGTGAGAGAACGGTATTTGCTTTTAATTGGCTGCTGCAAAGCAACCACCGTCTGTAATGAAGGAAGCAGTGGGGGATAAAACACAACACCACCAACTGCACCTATTACCCTCACTGTTACACGGGAGAGCTCCATACTCCACTTCACGAGAGACAATTAAAAAAAACATATCTGTGATTTACTTTTTAAATTATTTGATTTGTTTTACCCTGGTTGAAAGTTAATATTTGTACTTTTTTAGCTTTAACTGTAATCTGGGTTAGATCATACATGATTTAATAATCAGAGCACAAAAAATAAGAAAACATTATATTTGAAAGAATGTGAAACTAGATGTTACTAACATAAAATGTTTCATTAGGTCTTTCAAATATTACATTTTTATGGGAAATGTTTTACTGTATATCACTCTTCTAAGATTGCAAGTTTGTAATTGGTGACATTACATACATTTTTAAGGATGCTTTATGGATAATATAGATTAAATGTCGCGCGGGCGCAGGAGTCAAACCGACATGCTGGGCAGTGGATATGTGGCCTTTGATTAAAAAGCAGCAACAACAAACATTCAAACAAAAATAAACCGCATCCCATTTGTCGTAGAATACAACCAGTACACCTGGAGTTTGTACCAATACTATTTTTTGACTGTACATGTACGAAAACAGTACTGGTACAAAGAGTGAATGCTGAATATGCAAAACGCATTTTATTTGCATTTAAAATGTTTTTTATGTGTTAAAAAAAAGATTTCAACGTTTGATTTTAAAACTATCCAAAAGTATTTCGATAAGATTACAATTTGACTTTGTAATCTGATGTATTTTGTTACTAATGACAACAACAGCCATGTAATTTGTACTCAGTTACTGATTACATTTCACAGTAATCTGACTAGCACTAGCAGCACTCAGCCACCAGAGGGAGCTCTGTCCTCAGCTAAACAATTTCACTGCCTCATTTTATTTACTTCCTTTATAATGAACTCCGGAAATACCCTTTAATGTATATCTTAGAATAAAACAGCAACCTATCTGTCTTTTTCATCACAATGATGCTTAATGATCACG